TAATGATACCTAGTATATTCTTAGTGAGACGTATTTTGAGTAAAATAAATATGTATTATTATTATTGAATTATTATCATTGAATTAATGTGAAGGTATAATATAAAGGGACATGTAGACCTCTCATTTACGGGTATTTACTATATTGTCTAAGACGTATTAAAATCTAAGTAAAATGCTATTTGACTTATGCAGTAAATAAAAAATTTTAGGTTTCCTAAAGAACCTAACGCCAGGGAACAATGGATTGACGTGACGTGACAGGTAGAGGAAACTGGAGACAAAGACGAGTAGCATTTGCAGTAAACATTTTACTGAAAATGATTTTACCATAAAAAAATCAGAATACACTTAGTTTTGAAAAATTCATTCGCATTTTATTAATTATTGCTATTGCTATTGCAAGCGCCAACTGCTTAATAAATACGTTTTATTCCAGGGACAGTGACTATTTGTAATTAATAAATGTAAAATAGTCTTTTTTTTTCAATATTTATTTCATGTTTCATTTTCTCCATTCATTCATCAGATAATTTATCGATCAAGAATATCGATTTTATCAAGCACTAGCGTGTATGAACATTTCTATTGCCTTTTTGCGTGTGTGAGTGTGTATGCCTACAGGTGTTTTGTGCTAGTTTGCGAACGAATATCTGTCCTGAGATTTATGTGTGGGTGTTTTTGTTGTGTGCGAAATACTTATAATCACAGTATGTGTATGTGTAGAAATTAAAATAGTGGGGATGAAGCGGCGACACTGGTTCTGATACAAAATTAGAGCAAAGGCCTTTCCAACCTTATTTATCTATTCCGTGATTTTATCTCATGGTTTGTTTATTACCATTTTTTCTTAAAAATGTTAGTTATTTGTTTATTAATGTGCAATGAATAATAATTATTCTACGTTTCTCTTTCATAAATACCTAAAATAGTATACTATTTTCATCTTATATGTAAATACATTCAGTCCCACAACTAAGATTAACCTAATAATAGCACTAATGTGGAAATCCATCAAACAGTCAGCAACAGTCCTTTTTTATATTTGGCTAGGATTAAAGCTCGATTGGGGCTGTATAACTACGATTTCTTCCACACTAAACAATTTTATTTTTTTAATTTGAAGGTAAATCCTGTAACATTAGAAAACAATCGTTGGTTGTATACACCACGAGAAATTGGCCCGTATTCAGGGAAAACACCAGGATTACAATATTTCGATGCACAATTTTTTAAAGTACATGAAAGACTTGGAGAAAAAATGGATGTTATGTCCAGGAAGTTATTGGAGCAATCTTACCAAGCTATTTACGATGCAGGTAATCTTCTATTTCCGTTTAATATTCGGTTTTATAAAAATCGTGCTGTATGAGATTTCGCGTTATCATGGAGCAATAATGGTGAAGATCGATTCAGGAGTCAGGGCTGTTTCACTGAAAGTTTTTCTATCATTGTTCGGTATTGGGTACAGTAGACATCTGCCGTTATTGCTTGACTAGATTGGAGAAAATAGTGAATAACACCTGCTGAGACCACCAAACAGTTATACCTTTTTATTGGTAAGCTTTGCTTTAGGACACTACTGCGGCGTTTGACCTGAGGTCAGCCATTGTATTTTTCGCTTACGGTTATCGCAAAGAATCCACTTTTCATCACATGTCACAATTTGATCCAATATTCCTTCATTTCTGTATCGATTCAACAAGGCAACACAAATTTCAACACGCGTTTTTTTCTGCAGATCAGTCAAATCATGTTTCATGAGGCACTCATTTTTCATATTTTTTTATTTTATTGATTTGACGCAAATGAGTCAATATTGTTAGTAAGGTAACGTTAAACCATGCAGCTAATTCCTGGGTAGTTTGGCTCGGATCGGCTTCCACAATATCTTTCATCTCATTGTTATTCATACATACTACCACGCGGTTCGTCCTTCAAATCAAAATTTCCATCACGAATGCGTTTAAACCAAAATCACACGGTACGTTCATTAACAGTTCCCTCTTCAAATGCAACATTGATATTGCGAGCTGTTTCTGTAGCCTTAGTTCCATGTCAGAACTCGTATTCAATAGTCACCCGATTTTTCGAAGTATCCATCGTTTCTTGTCTTAGCTCAATTAAAAAAACCACGGAAAGTCGATAATCAAATGTTACACATTTTTTTTAAAAGAAGAACCGTATACCATACCATTTGAAAAAAGTTTCACTCAAAAATCTCAAACCATGAAGGGCCTATGTTAATTCGAAATACCTATTAAAATAAAACGGCAATTTCATACTTTAACCCCTGTTCTTACAGATACTTGTGTGCAACAAAAAACTTCTTTATCCTATTTTGCAATTAAGCACCTAGAAACAGATAAGAAGGATTATAAATAATATTTGAAATTATCCTGTACAATATCGATTTCGAAATGACAAGACAAGACGTGCTTTTCAGGTCTGAGCCCTCAGAGCTTAAATGGTAAAAATGTTGCAGTCTACATAGGTATTTCTGTTTCTGAGACTGAAATAACCGGATTTTTTGATAATTCTTCCAAGAGAGGATTTGGAATAATGGGGTAATTCAATTTGTTTTATTTTTAAATTATACTTGGTGAGGTAATAATCTTTAATCCAATTGTTTTTAAGCAGATGTAGTAAAACAATGTTCGCAAATCGTATCTCCTATTGGTTAAATGTAAGAGGTCCTTCCATAGCCGTCGACCTAGCATGCTGCAGCTCTATGAGTGCTCTACAGCTGGCATATCTTGCCATGAAAAGTGGTGAATGTGAAGCTGCCATTGTTGGAGGATGTCATTTGTGTACGCTGCCTGAATCATCAGTTCATTACAACAGCTTAAGACTATCAAAATATATTTTCACATAAATTCTATAAAAGTGGGAATTTAATTATAAATTAAGAAACAAACTAGCTTTGATTTAGTTATTTAAGCACCAAAAATATATTACAAGCATTTACATGCGAGTACATTATTAGTATTGGTGTTATATTCATTTTATACAGTATATTATACAGTATAGTATACAGTGCACAAAAGTGCACATTGAAAAAGCACAGTGTCAGTGTCCGAAAAACTGATTTAACAAAATTACATGCAGAGTAAATCAAACAAATCGAATTAATTGCCACAGTATCAAAGTAATAGTAATTACAGAAATTGTATGTTTTGCTTTTGATTAAAAAGTTTTGTTAACCAACTATACTGATATATAATTACCAAGCAACATTCATTTAAATTCACACTATATTGCAATTTGTTTTTAGAATAAACTCGATAGCAACGGATGGAAAAACTAGGTCGTTTGATCAAGAGGCCAACGGATGTGTTCTTTCTGATGCTATCAATGTTATTTTCTTACAAAAAGCGAGTGATGCTTTGAGGTAAACCATGTTTTTCTTCGTTGTGTATGGAGTTTGATTCGTAGCATTCCTCAATTTATGAGAATTTGAGAATAACATTTATTTAAGGGTATACGCTGATGTGGTCCACGCCAAGAATGAATACATTTCTTTCAAACAAGAAAATGAGTTTCCCAAGAGCGGATCATATAGGAAACCGCATGAAATTGCAAGTTTTTTGAAAGAATTTTATAAAGAAGCGGAATTCGCCCCACAAGATGTCGATTACGTAGAGGCATTTGGCATCGGTAGGCCATGAAATGTATTATTCACTTATATACATAAAGATGATACAGGTTTTAGTTGATGTTAATTCAAAGTATGTTGGTCAGTTTTTTTTACATTTTAAAAAATAAACTATATATAGGTGACACATAAAACTAGCTTCGGCGGAAAGCTAAATTTAAGTAAATTGTCACACTGCGGCTAATACAAAAATTTAGTGACAAAAAATAAGCAATTGTATGTAATGTAATCTACATCTTTTCCTTAAGGAAATAGCAAAAAGGTTAGTCGACATCACAGGAGACCGAAGAACTGGCAGCTACCTTGGACAAAGAATTAGTCTAGCTATTCAAAGGGGGAACGCTGCCAGTATCTTCGGAACTTTGCCTAAAGGGACTCCTTTTAATAATATATTTAAGTCATGAAATTATTATAATTATTATTTATTATTTAATATTATTTTATATTATTCATAATGTAAATATATATAAGGTTTGTAAATTATGTTATGAAATGTATAGATATTACATGATAACTCAAGGAATGTCGCGAGGATTTATATGACACAACAAAGACACGACAAACAACAATTTGGGTTGTTGTATGTTTGCTCGTAAGAAGTTTAACATGTATATACATGATAAGTATTTTTTAAGTTAATTTTATTTTATTTATAATTTTATTTATTAATTTATTTTTTAAATTCTATAGGTAATCCGGAATCAGATAAATCTGAACTAGAAGCTTTGACTGATGTTTTCTGTGACAAGAAAACTAATCCATTGTATGTAGGCAGCGTGATGTCCAATATAGGTTTCACCGCAGCGGCTAGTGGCATTACATCCATTATAAAAGTAAGTGTTTTCCAAATACTATATCGTAACTCCTAGCCACTATTTAAATTAGATCTTGCGGACAAGAAATCTAAATTATATATTAGTTAATTTCTGATGTTTTAATGTTTTATGTATACTAAAGTTTCAAAGAAATACTTATTCGATTTGGGATATACTCTTTTAGTATTGATTTAAACAGGAACTATATAGCTATGCATGTATTTTATTTATTTAAGATAATTTTAATGTAATATTTTATAGAACCCATATAAACAAATACAAAACTAACTTACCTCAGTAATTACAATTGTAAAGTGCAAAGTAATGTGCAATTCTTACTATATTTGCCTACAGTTTAAGTAATGACAATCGAATTTAAAGAGTTAACTCCAGTTGTGCGTCGAAGCTGACACGCACATTTTACTTATCGAAGTTTACATAAACAATGGACAGTGTAACTTTTTTTACAGAACACGACGTAAGCCCTTTAGGCATAAGGTCATATGAAATATTTTACTGGAAAGTAAATGAATAAAAACAATTGGTATGAGATATTTATAGGGTGACAATTAAACATTATAGGTGCTCCTCGGCTACCAAAACGGTTTATTTGCTGGTAACCTACATTACAATAAGCCGCGCCACGACATAAATGCAATAAAAGACGGGCGAATTTGTATTCTTGACGATCACTGCCACATTAACGGAAATTACGCAGCAATCAATGCCTTTTCAGTAACTGGAGTCAATGCTCATGTTTTGTTGAAAGGAAACCGTAAACCAAAGGTAAACTGTATGTTTTTTAAGTCCTAAAATAATAATACTGTTTAGATTTTAAGAGAATGAAACATTCTTTGTTTTGGAATTCGTAAACAGTCCCAGGATGATACACTTCCGCAATTTTGCAATTATATTGTACAATATAAAATTACTGCAGTATTGTTTTACTATATCTTTGTAGTCATTATTTATCTAAATTTTCTAGTCTTCTATTATATTGATTTTCAACGCTGCAATTTGTTTGTCACTTTAAAACGAATGCTTGTTAGTTTTTTCCTATAAATTACTGCAGTACAGTATCCTTGGAACAAATGATATATAGTTACAATTCTAGCTCACTTATCTTCTACGCGAGTTAAGTACTTTAAACATATTATTATTCTTAATTGCGAGAATGTTATACATAACATTAATGTACCACAGGACTTAGCCAAATATAAATCCAACATACCACACCTGGTGACAGTATCAGGAAGGCAAGATACTTCAGTAAAAAAAGTACTCGATAATTTAAAATCAAGACCAATAGATCCAGAAGAACTAACATTATTTCACAACATACATTCGGTGGTGACTCCAGGGCACTTGGGAAGAGGATACACAATTTTGGGTAAGTAGCGTTGCAGTTCCGATAGGGGCCGGTAGGATATTTTTTAAGTGAAACTTCTTTAGAATCGTTGTGATTTCAAATTCGATGAAACGAAATGAATGAAACAAAAAAATAAGTGTGCCAAGATTGGCTTACCAAAGCGGTCCACACGGTCTCGCGACCCCGACTAGTTCAGTGTGTTTTTGACGTCCGTGCATACTGTCGTGGCTCTCGGAGCGTCCTGAGATACTTTTATTTTGTATTTAGTTTGTTATCAACAGATGTCGCTGCACGTCAATTCAACAATTCCTGAATCGCGGTGACGAGATGTTACACAGTTGATAGACGTTCTCGTATTTCTCTTGTTAAATCATGCTAACCTGGCGTAGGGATACTGTGTTCCCCAGGGCGAGGCTGCTCCATTGTACTGTGGAGTGGTTGACCCTTGCAATTATTTTTACTTTTTATAAGTTTCACTTCTACCGTGTGTGACTTGCACACACACATCATCTTTTTTTTCTAACTATAGCTTCGATCAACAATAGTAACTATTGTTAATTGAAGAGCCGAAGAACTAAAAGTATTTACAGACTGTAAAATATAGAACATTCGAAGCTAAACAGGTATTTCAGCCCCCCCCTTTTTATCTATTTTTCATTTCGTTGCAGAAACACAAGAGAATCAAACAGTAAGTTTAGGAGAAGCAGTGAACTATTTCGATAATGCCAAACGTCCGTTGTGGTTTGTGTACAGCGGGATGGGTTCTCAATGGCCTGGGATGGGCGCAGAACTTATGAATATCCCAATATTTTCCGCAGCTATTCAGCGGTAAAAAGAACTACCTTTTATTTTTTACTTTAGTATATTATGAGCCTCTTTTATCAAAATACCCTTTTGCAGCTGCCAAAAAGCACTCGAACCTAAAGGAATAGATATCATGCAAATCATAACGTCTACTGATCCTGATATTTTCAATAATATTCTAAACGCTTTCTTGGGTATCGCGGCCATTCAGATCGGTTTGACAGATGTCATGTATGCACTTGGTTTGGTTCCTGATAATATCATAGGTAATTTTTAATTATTAATAATAATAATAATAATAATATAATAAAGCCTTTTTATTTCCAGTAAATTTACATAGCTTAAAATCTATCTATGTGTTAGTTTTTTTTTAATTGTTTCATTTTAATATTATATAATTTTTAATATAGTTTTTATCACTTACTTAATATAATTAGTATGTTTACTTAATATTACATAGTTATGTTTACTTAATATTATGTAGTTATTTAATCTACCGGAACCCCAGATTGGGTGAAGGCCTCCTCCAGTGATGCCCATTAATGCTTAGTTTATATTTATCTAGGGTATTTCTTTCCTCTATTGGTGACGTCTCTGGAGGGTTTTGGTCGTATTCTTCCACGGTGACCAACCGGGTTGGAAGATTTTTTTTATATATATATATATATTTTTTGTATGTTATTTTGTTCAATTGTGGCATCTTTGTGGTAGGAGGGGCTTAGTTGCTATATATTCTCGCTGTTACTTTCTTGGTTGTTGTTAGTTTTGATTGTATTTTTGTTGACTAAGAAGTTGAGCATGCTAGGTTTTATGACTCCTTCTGTGATACTATTTGACCTAGTGACTGTCTTGCCAATCTGCTTTGTCTTGTTTTTTTTACTAGCCTGAGTATACTTGTCTGTATTGATTTGTGGGGTATTGTCTGGAGATGACCGGTATTTTCTTTTACTTTGGTATTTTGATACAATTAGTTTATCATATTTGAGTATAGCTGTATTTCCCTTTTCTCTCTCTAATTTCAGCTGTTCCTGTAGTGCCTTTCTTTTTTCAAGTACATATTTGGGAAAGTCTTCTTTCATATAGCACTGTGTATCTTTCAGCGCTCTTTTTTGTTTAAATATTTCGATTTTTATTCCTAGTGTAGTGAAAGTTACAACAGTTGGACGTGGTCTCTCTTGTTTCTTTCCCAGTCTTTTTATCTCTTGAATGTCGCTGTAGGTTAGTTTGATAGAGAAATATTGCTCAATCCATTTAATTATATTTTCTTCGAAACTTTTGTATGATGTTTCGTTTTCCTCGATACCGAAAAATACTAAGTTTCTTACTCTTGTTTGTTTTTCCAGGTAATAAATTCTTTTTTCTTGATTTTCCACTTTTTCTTTCATTTCTCCAAGTTTTCCTTCCCAGATCAAAAATTTCTCCTCGAATATACTAGTAATATTTTGTGTAACTTTTTCCGTAACATTTTTTCCAGTTTCTCTAATTTCAATTCTTTGTTCTTCCAGTTCTTTTTTTATTGAAATTAGCGTGTTTAAAACTTCTTCCATCGTTACGGTTTGTTATGATGCAAGTGATGTCCTCTAACGGTGCGTGTTTGTTTTAGTTAGCTCTTGACTTGACGTCGATGTGTGTGACGTAGTAATTAGCTTCTGTTGTAATAGATGGCGCGTGGGATGTTACACTGATTGGAGCTATGATGATCTCCAAAACAACAATCTTATCGATTATCATATGATAGTTTGCACTTGTTTTGTTCTTCACTTTGATTTGATAATTTCACTATTACTTACACAAGTGTGTTCTGGCTTGAGGTGTTGTGTCTCAAAAGACGCATAAATGCTCTCAGAAGGCCTTGGAGATCAAATCTTTGTAGATGGTTTGCACAATGTTTGATTCAAGTTTTTATGAGTTTGATATTTGTGTTTCCACTGTATTTTATCTTCACCAGCTCCCTTAGCACTAAGTCTCTGTACACACTTATATAATGTATCTCAAGTCACTTTTTAGATTAAATTTTTGTTAATTTTTTATCGGAGTCGATGTTGAGCGTGCCACGATCTATCTACCCTCTTTTAATTATTATATAGTAATAAAAACTGTAATAATAAAATTTGTACTTATGTTATTGGCGTTGTATCTCATAGCACAAAGCTAATGGTAATATGTATAAACAATGCGATTTCTGTATTTATTTAATGTATTTTTAATTGAAATCTTAAAATCATCTGTTTTACAGAGATATTCACAATTTCATTGCCACTGTATTTCTATTTCATTCTCCGACATACAAAGTCTTATAAAATACTAAAGCCACCTCAATTAATTCGTCATAAGTTACCGTGGCCTGAAGGATAGAACGCCGGGTGTACTCCCATCAAGCAATGCAATTATACAAATCCGGCAAATAATAATGTAGAATATAATAAAATACGTACTTCACCCGTGTTCTCCGTCGAAGGAATACCGCTATCTTGCACAATAATAAATTCGAACACACAAAAAAAGAATTTACGCCATTACCGATAATAGTACGCATTCTATACTCGCACGGTGAGATACCTCTAACTTAGTACTACAACAACAAGTGTGACAGCCGTTGTACAATACAAGTGAGACATGTTTCAAGGCGGTATTCACGGCATGTGTGAGTTCCGGTAGTAAGTTCACACCGGGTAGGCCACAAACGACGTGTCCTATCGTCTAGAAATAATATGTATAATCATGATTTTAATGTTCTTTATAAATAAAAGGACACAGTGTGGGCGAGCTCGGCTGCGCATATGCAGATAGTTGTCTGACAGCAGAGGAAATGATTTTGGCAGCGTATTCTCGTGGTCAAGCATCCATTGAGACTAAACTCATCAAGGGTTCTATGGCGGCCATCGGGATGGGATACAAAAAAGTAGAGTATTAAAAAATGCTACATAAAACAAATCTTGCTTTTAAAAAAAATAGTCTGTGATTGTATTTTCACACAAAACACGAGAACTGTGAGATTGTTTAGCTATATTTATCTTTAAAGTTATATTTATAATTTAAGCAATATAATAGATAAAGATCCTTAAAACATGGTGCGCTTGCAAGTTGGTACACGTGAAATAAGTGAAAATTCTTGTGCGGTGTGTAGTATTGTGCTTTTCTTCATTTTTCATTCTTATTAAATCAATTTTTTCTTGTTATAGGGAATGCTCTCTATATGTTTCCCTCTCTCCACGGTCGAATGGTTCCCGAGACGCTTTGTCTATTTTCTCACTTTCGCTTTTCCTAAACTGTATCTTTTCTCTCTAGCCGTAACGAATCTATCGCAAGTTAAATTTTACTCTCAACGCGCCTAAAGAAGTTTCACTTCAAAAATTGGCTTTTTTATGAAGATTTTAAATACAGTTTCAGGTGTACCATGTCATTTGGACCATGTGTATAAGGTAAGCTTTGCACACTGTTTCAGATCTTACCTCTGTGTCCTCCAGAAGTAGACGTGGCGTGTCACAACGGACCGGACTCTAGCACTATATCCGGCCCAGCGGATGTGACTGCCCATTTCGTAGTCGAACTGTCAGCCAAAGGAATATTTGCTAAAACAGTTCCTTCTGCGAATATCGCGTATCACTCTCGTTACATAGCTGCTGCTGGTAAATCCTTTGATTGTTTATTTGGAAAATCAAGAAAATTATTAAAGTTATGATATTATACTAAGAATTCTAATAAATGAACAATTCTGATTCTAATATTAAATTTTGAATACAAACNTGTGAAGGCGCGAATTCAAAGAAATCCCAAACGTAAGCAGAAACTGTTGGCCCTTCAGATGGGGTTAAGCAGAACCACGGTGAAAAGGGTGTTAAATGAAGACTTAGGGCTTCGGGCATATCGAAGAAAAACAGGACATCGTTTGAATGCTCGTCTAATGGACCTGAAACTGAAGAGATGCCGCGCTTTGTTGAAGCGGTACGCGGGGAAAAAATATCGGTAAATTCATTTTTCGGATCAAAAAATGTTTGCCGTAGGAGAGAGCTACAACAAACAAAATGATAAGGTGTACGCACACAGTAGTGAAGAAGCGATCAACCGTATTCCGCGTGTCCAACGAGGTCATTTTCCATCCTCGCTCATGGTAAGGTTGGGAGTTTCTTATTGGGGCTTAAGAGAGGTACATTTTTGTGAGAAAGGTGTAAAAACGAATGCAGTTGTGTATCAAAATACAGTCCTGACGAACCTTGTGGAACCTGTTTCTCATACCATGTTCAATAACAGGCACTGGGTATTCCAACAAGATTTGGCGCCAGCTCATAGAGCGAAGAGCACACAAGAGTGGCTGGCGGCGCGTGAAATCGACTTCATCCGGCACGAAGACTGGCCCTCCTCCAGTCCAGATTTGAATCCGTTAGATTACAAGATATGGCAACACTTGGAGAAAAAGGCGTGCTCAAAGCTTCATCCCAATTTGGAGTCACTCAAGACATCCTTGATTAAGGCAGCCGCCGATATTGACATGGACCTCGATCGTGCTGCGATAGACGACTGGCCGCGCAGATTGAAGGCCTGTATTCAAAATCACAGAGGTCATTTTGAATAAACTTTAGTGTCATAAGAATCTATGTTTTGTTAAGTTCATTTTGGTATATGAATGGTTACATAATGAATAAACTTGTTTCAATTATTTTACATTAAACATGTGACAGAATTTATGAACTGACTAGGTATAATAGATAAATATCCTTAAAACATGGTGCGCTTGCAAGTTGGTACACATGAAATAAGTGAAAATTCTTGTGCGGTGTGTAGTATTGTGCTTTTCTTCATTTTTCATTCTTATTAAATACATTTTTTCTTGTTATAGGGAATGCTCTCTATATGTTTCCCTCTCTCCACGGTCGAATGGTTCCCGAGACGCTTTGTCTATTTTTTCACTTTCGCTTTTCTTAAACTGTATCTTTTCTCTCTAGCCGTAACGAATCTATCGCAAGTTAAATTTTACTCTCAACGCGCCTAAAGAAGTTTCACTTCAAAAATTGGCTTTTTTATGAAGATTTTAAATACAGTTTCAGGTGTACCATGTCATTTGGACCATGTGTATAAGGTAAGCTTTGCACACTGTTTCAGATCTTACCTCTGTGTCCTCCAGAAGTAGACGTGGCGTGTCACAACGGACCGGACTCTAGCACTATATCCGGCCCAGCGGATGTGACTGCTCATTTCGTAGCCGAACTGTCAGCCAAAGGAATATTTGCTAAAACAGTTCCTTCTGCGAATATCGCGTATCACTCTCGTTACATAGCTGCTGCTGGTAAATCCTTTGATTGTTTATTTGGAAAATCAAGAAAATTCTTAAAGTTATGATATTATACTAAGAATTCTAATAAATGAACAATTCTGATTCTAATATAAAATTTTGAATACAAACTTTAAAAATCTTTGGGTTCCATTGTAAAATAAACCAAGAGTTACTTTCCAATTATTTAAATAGTAAATGAAAACTTTTTAAGATTTCTATTATTTCTGTGGTTTTTAATTTCACCTTCATAAAATGTTTTTTTTTTGTAATGTAAGGCTCAAATCTCTTACAAATGCTGAAGAAGGTCATAAAAAATCCACGTCTTCGTAGTGAACGTTGGGTTTCCACGTCTGTTCCTCAAGAGGATTGGAATAATGCAGCAGCCAAATACTGTTCCCCTGAATACCAAACTAATAATTTGTTGGTGTGTACTGATTAATACTGGTCAATAAATTTCCTGATGAAAAAAATGAAATCTAATTTTCACAATAATAATTTTTATGTGTGTATAAAGTACAAAAAAATATTTATTTCTTCGATTTTCAATGATTCGCATGCCTTTTTTATATGCGTGTTCCCTCATAATTGTGCGTGTCATTCTTACGCAGGGGCCATCCTAATCTTCTTAGTATCGTTCCAATTTTATTTTTCAAATTTAACCCATCATATCTGAAATCTATAAATGAAAAAAGAACTACTAATTTAAATAACGATTATTAAAAAAGTTACTGAAATCGATTAGTAAAATAATTACATGTTTCAGAACCCAGTTCTATTCGAGGAAACATCTCGACTGATTCCAAATAACGCCATTCTCATAGAAATAGCTCCACGTGGACTGCTACAGGCCATTCTGAAACGTTCTGTATCAACTGATTGCTTTAATATATCGTTAACTAAAAGAGGACATGGTAACGTCATACATTTACTTCAAACCATTGGGAAGTAAGTAAAGATGAAATAAATAAGTAACTTGAAATTCGTTGTAATTAGAAATAAGTATGTTATTCCATATGAATTTAGCCGACGGTCGACTATAATGTGCAGCAAAAGATTTTTATTTGGGGGCTATAGGTTATATTATCATTTTTTTACTAAAAACTCAACAAACACCATCGAGTAACCACCTTATTCACCAGATATGTGTCCGACTGACTTCATTATTTTTCCTAACTTTAAATTGCCACATCGTGGTACATGTTTTCGTTCGGTAGAAGATAGCCATAAAGGAGAGGTGAGAACTAAATTCAATTCCAGAAAAAGTGTTTAAAAAATATTTTGATTAGATTATTCGGTGGCGTAAGTATGCCGTTTCTGTAGGAACATATTTCAAAGGTGATAAAATAGATTTGAATGAATAATTAACATTTTATGTATTTTTTATATTTTTTCTGTAATTTCTCGATAATTATATGAAAATAAAAGTAATTTATCGAGGAATCCGCGATTCGAATCAGTCGTTTTTGCCAGCTTTTGGCAAGGTCTTAAAGAGTTTAGCATTTTGTGTTTTATTGATTTGTCGCCTTTTAAAGATCTTTGAATTCAAATTGATATTGACCTATTACCTTTTAAAAGATGACATTACCTTTTAAAAATAAGATTTCTTTCCATACATGGATCAATGTCGTCGTATCTGTTCGAATCCATATCATCTTATTCAATTTGCAAATTTGAACAAAATTTTCAATTAAAATTTGTATTTGCGCAAATTCTCCATAATTTTCGACAGTTAAAACAGTCCACAGTATTTCCAAATTAATAAAATTAAATAAAAAATGAGACCAATACGAATACTAATAGAAATTTCAATCTAGTGCTGGTATAACTAGTGGTCATTTCCAAGCACAAGAATCTCTTGCTCCTATTCTTTTGTTAAAGAAAACTCTTCTTTCTTTCTGAAGGGCAAGTTAACAGCTATAATTATAATGTACAAAACGTATTTGGTACGGGAAATAAATTATAAGGGCCTCATTGTTACAAAATTTAATGGGAAAAATGAGTGCTGGGAGCATTTAAACATTCCACGCATTAAATCAACATGAAGTCAGAGTCAGTAAAATAAAGGGAGAAAATCATCTGTGAATCAATAACAACAAAAAATATCAAGAATACATTTTTAACTGAACGTTTCATTTCTTAATTATTTCAGGCTGTACATAGAAGGATGCACACCAGACATCAAGGCTTTGTACCCAAAAGTAGAGTTACCAGTTTCAGCAGGGACTCCCATGCTATCACAATTAGTTGAATGGATGCATCTACAGGAATGGTAGGATGAAAATTTGAAGATAGTAATTAATAATTAATTCATTTTTTTATTTTTATCCATTAGATGAGCCAAAGCTGCCTTGGCCCACTGGTTTCAAGTAGTTACCGATTTAGTAGATTCTGCAGGATGGGTGCCACCGCTGAGCTTGGGACGTTGTACTCGTTGTGGAGTCGAGTCGCTGTAACGGCGGCATCATCATTCAAACCGAATCGCATGAGGCTTTGTAGCAGAAATGAGCCAGTGGTACTTCAAGGCGCGCCAAACAAAACCCGAAAGTCGTTGTTACACTAATCTATGTAATTTATGGTCATGACATAACACGTGGTTTCCTAAAAATATCCCATTACATCACTGAATAGAAACTTATCAGATATTCTAGATGCTAGGCCGAAGACACTGAAGCCTTCATTCATTAAAACTTTTCTACCATAAAGATATTGACTGTTGAATTTTGAACTACAGGTACGTTCCAAAGCCACAAAGTACTGAAATAATAACTTGTGCAGTCTGCGAACATTTCATATCTGTGCATGACAAAGAGCATAGTTATTTAAGAGGAAACATTGCTCAAGGTAAGATTTTTTCTATGATTGAGGGTGGCCCAGTGGCCTTTCCAGTTTCACAAGGGCAGGTGGGCGAGCAAGGGATAAGCCAGGAGGGGCGGGATTTGCTAACAGTTGCCCGAGCTCCTCCAGGAGAGCCCTAACAAACTAAAGAGCAACAGTTTCGAGAATGAATCTAATACCGGATAGGAATCGCGACCCGCAGAGATCCGGCGAGAAACTCAACGGGCTGATGTTTACTACCAGCCAAGCTGTTAAACAGTTTAATAAATTTATGTAAAATTAAAAAAAAATACAAAAATGATAATATTTCTTTAGTACTGTTATGACTGACACTTGGAGTTGCGTAGTAGTTTGTTATTAACCATCAATAAAATCAATTATTATAACAACATTGAATATGGTCATTGAATATGTACGAGTATAACATACAATTACGATTATGGTTAGCTTAATGCCAGCTATATTAAATTATATTTTAACCGCCAAGGGCTATGTGCCGATATCTCAGTTGGTCGGTTGCGTAAATGAATAGGTGAATGATCATGAGTTCGTATCCTTTTCACAAGATTTAGAAGTTAATATTTTAATTTTGTAGATATTGAAGTGAAAAGTAGGATATAAATTTTTTTTGGGAAAATGATGAGGTTGCTACAGAAATAATACACGTTTTCAAAATTTTAAATGTGTATTTTTAAAACAACATTGGAATTCATTATTACAAATTTAATATGACGCAGTTATTGACGTTATACAATGTGTTAATTCTTCTTTCTGGACGTTCCCTCAATGCTGAGGATCGTGACTGTATGTCAATCTTCTCCACTCGGTCCGGTTCTGCGCCATATGTACCGCTCCCCATATCTGGCCTCCAGTCACCTCCTTGAGTTGGTCAACCCATCTAGCTGGCGCTCTTCCTCTAGCGCGCTTCCCCTCCATCTGTCCGAGAATTGTGAGTTTCTCCAGGCTGTGCAATGAGGATCGCATTATGTGCCCAAAGAAACTCCGGATCCTTTCCTGTTAATTAAATAACTGCAAACCAGAAAGTAGTTCCATCAGAATCCAGAGTAAAATCGAATTAGACTATGTTTCAAATCAGGTTGTGTTTGAGTCTTTAAATCCTTTTTATTATTGTGCCCAGTCTAAATGCTACTATATTAACAATAACGGGAAGAGTGCTCGTACAGCTGACAATTGTGGCATTGGCTCGGAGTGCCTTTATGTGTGGGGCTTCCACAGTGATTGCGGAAAGCCTACACACAGTCTGGATGTTCAATATTTGTTTTCCCTCGGGCTGGCCTGGTGGGCGACGAGAACCATGTTATGTGGCTCCCTCCCGCGTCCTGTGTGCATGCGGTGCACGGAGTTTACCACTGATTTGCCGAACGAATTCCACGAATTCAGAGGTCCGCTCGCTCACAGATGGCAATGCAACGCAATTAGCCATAGGTAGACACTTCCGAGAAAACACTTGGACGCCAGATGTGCCACAAACCGAGGTCGGGCGATCGAACGGTCAACGAGCACGTCCGCACACGAGGAGTGCTTGGATCGGAATGTTGATAAGAAGTTGTACTGAATAAGAATGATAGCACTTCAGAAGGAAAACTAAATGTTCAGCAAAACATGATTATGTTAAAAATATAATAAATAATACATATCGCCCACAGCACGTTTGAGGCAATGGTGCGGTAAATCAATTTTGAGTTCCAAAAAGGGCTCAAACGTTATAAAAGATAGGCATTTTTGTGATTTTATTGTCATGAAATGCATTTAGACGTATGCCAGAGATATTTAATAATTAAAAATGTTTTTAGGGAAAACGATATATCCTATTGGAGGAATATTACTTCTAGTTTGGGACACGTTATGCATGTCGATGCTATTGCCCAAAAAGAAGGTGTCGGTTAAATTTAGCGACGTTCATATAGAAGTGCAACCAATACTTTGCGAAGAAAAAATATTAAGACTGCGTGTAGCGATCAACAAGGGAAATGGACGATTTGAGGTCAGTGTTTTATTCGCAAGTAGTCTTTTTCTCCACTATCCCACTAGGGTCAACACAGCAAATTTTTCTTATTCTTTCTCTCATATATTCATGCAGACAATCTATTAATGTCTTCTTTGGTTGACCTCTTCTCCCTTTGTAATGATTTTTTAATTTTTTGGACTTACGGAAGGCTATGTATTTGCAAGGTCTCATTCTCGATATTATACGGTCCTAAATGTTCTCAATGGGTAAGTCGTAGTTTGATAATCTATTGGGATTTGTTTTGTTTAAGATTATAATATTTACACTTTCATATTATACCTTTTCATTACGCATTTTCTCTTTACATATACATATATTATTCTTAATCAAACTCTACTACTTCCTTTTCTTGACTATGCCGATGTATGTTTCCGAGATGACGGTGAAGCTTTCTGTATTAACTCTTCACACGACGTTTTCTCTGAATGGATTTCATAATTTTATTATATCACTATCACCAGACTAGCTTAATAATACCAGATTCTTGAGTCATCATCAGTAACGGCAGGTTTTATGGTAATACAAAAAGTAGCAATAAGTAATTTAGAGCTTTTTCCGTTTGAAATAAAACAAAACTTTTCGGGATTAGTTATTGGTAATAATAAATAAACAATTTTAAGTCAACGTTTAAATATATAATATAATGTATTAAATGTATACGCCGCGAAATGGGCCGATATCTTCATTATTTCTTGAAATAGTTACGTCTGATGGGTAATCGGGCAAAGAGATTGTGCAGCACAAAACGATGACAGTTTCGAGACGTCTTCACTCTTTCCAAGCTAGGCAACGAGTGTGCTTCCATTCAATCCGAGCGATGACACCTCGACTCTGCGGAAGCACACCACCCGAATTGAGCTGATCTTTGGCGAGTGGTTGCGGCTCACATCCACTAGGTGGCACGCTTTCGCTTCGTTTGTTATTTCCGGATGCCACATACACTGTAACATTAGGATAAAAAATTTAGGATTAAAAATAATAATTGACTATTCAGGTTACAAACGCTGGATCCAAAGTTGCAAGTGGAATTATTTTTACTACAAGTAAAAATAAGATTGGCAAAATGGATCATGCAGTTACTTCTATGGAACTAAATAAAAACGACGTATATCAATTACTATGGAAAAAAGGATACTCTTTCAGGTTTTGAAATATCTTAATAACTTAACGCACTGCTTAAACGCTAACTATGTATATAATATCAGAATATACCTAGTCTTGCCATAAATACTGAGGCAAAGAAAAAAAAATTCTATTGCAAATAACATTTATTACTTTTACAGTATGTCAGTATAATACATAAATACAAAACAATTTCAAGTATAAAAAGCTTATTCGAAGTGGTCTCCATTGGCTGCAATACAGTCCTTTATACAGTTATCAATAGAAGCACGCACTCTTTCCACGGGAAAAATTTTCACTGCCAATCATACGGATTGTTTTAGGGACTCCAAATTATCATGGCGTTTAGAGCAAGCCGTACTCTCTAAAACTGACCATAAATCATAATCCAGCGGATTAAGATCGGGACTAGACGACGGCCAGTCTTCAGCTCTGATGAAGTCCGAAACGTTCGTTTCCAACCAAGACTGCGTAGATCGAGCTTTATGGCCTGGCGCCGAGTCTTGCTGGAAGGACCATTCTTGATTATTGAACATGGTGTTTTTAAGGGGCTTCACTACCTTCTCAAGAATAGTATCTTGATACACTTGTGCCGATGTTTTGATACCTTTTTCACAAAAGTATGGCTCAGTCACTCCTTCATAGCTAATACCCCACCAAACCATCACTGAAGTCGGATAGTGCCCACTTTTCACTGTTGTCGACTGATTGGGAAGCTTCCTTAGAGCTTTGAGCATAAATACGGTCATTTTGTTTGTTAAAATGTTGCTCAGTTGTAAAAATTTTCTCATCCGTAAACAAAAATTTTCTATGACCTCCCTCTGCGTACCGCTTCAGTAGTTGTTTCGATTTTACCACCCTATTCTCTTTTAAATTATCAGCTAAGAAATGACCAGTACGTCTCTTATAGGCTGCAAGTCCTAAGCCATCTTTTAAAATACGCGATATGGTTCTAGGTGCTATCTTCATCTCCCGAGATAAAATCTTTTGCTTTCGGACAGGATTTCTTCGAATTCTTTCCCTTACTGCATTGACCACCTTTTTCGTACAAACACTACGTGGACGGCCAGATCTTTTTCTGTCACAAACAGAGGAGGTCTCATTGCACCTATTAATAGTCCGGTACACAAACATTTTACTAATACCAAGCGTGTGGAGAGTTTTAAAAATTGCATTTGGCTCCATACCTACTTTGTGTAATGCAATCACAGCGATTTGGTTCTCTTTATCACCCTACTCCATTTTAATATAGCAAAATATTGTACAAGGTATTGGCGCCAAAATGAGAAAACTCAATGAGCAATCATATAAAAATGACAGATTCCAAATTCAAATGTAATATTTTGTTTATTTTTAATTGTAACAGTATTTATGACCAGACTAAGTATAATAGAGAAATAAGTCTTACCATTGAAATTATAGATATGTTGAGATATTTGGTCGGACCTAATCTTTTATTGAAGTATTTAAAATGTTCACTGCCTATTTGTATTTTATTTATTTAAACGCCAGGCATACACTAACAAACTATTATAATCTAATGACACTTTGTTGACAATGTTTTGACTCACAAACCAGCGAGGTAATTTTTTACAATACGACTATAGATAAACTAGGAAAATATATCATATTATCTATTATAAACCCATTTGTTGTGTTACAATCTTATTTAAACTGCAGTATATTAGTTTATATCAAATTTATGTTATTGGTTTCATATGTTAGTGAGCAATATACCTAAAACAGTCTATTCTATATAACTATAATAACTAAGACTTATATTCTATATACCTATAATAACTAATAGATAAGAATATCTATTCTTTTATAACAAGTATAGAAGAATTTGGGAAAATATCTCTCAAAACATTATGAGTTTTATATTAACCGCCTAATAATAATATCATTTTAATTTTTAGCGAAGAATTCCGTTTGATAAAGAGTGCAAATACGACTTTATCTGAAGCCATCGTAGAATGGCGAGACAACTGGGTGACGCTGATCGAGAATATGCTGCAATTGAATATCTTAAATCAGAACGATAATGGTGTTCCACTACCTGCTAAGATCTCTGACGTTTTTCTTAATATTTTTGAACACGAAAAGCAAATATTTTCAAAAGATAGTTCATCCACATTAAAAGTAATTCGGTCTGAAGTATATGATTCGACGGAGTGAGTTGATATTGCATATTTTTATTTTTTTCTAATCTTTAAAAACAGGGTTTACTAGGCTAGCTATAAACTTCACGGTCGATATCAGGGATGGTAGTATCGAGCAGTCCGAGCTGTCACACTCATAATCACTACGAGACGATGACCGAGCTTTGCTCGGTTTTTTTTTTGATAACGCCATCTTGTTGTGTCTTTAAAGCGGTTAGTTGCCCTCAATTAAGAAAAATAGTATTATTATTCGCCAATAAATGTCGAGAAGAGTTGATTATTAAAAACACGAATAAAACAACATTTTCTGAAAATAAATCGTATTTCGTAAAATTTTACGAAAATCGTTGGAGCCGTTTTCGAGATGCAGATTACATATATATATATATATATATATATATATATACAATTATATTTATAATATTATTATATATAAATTATATTATTATATATAATTATTATTATTATTATTATTATATATAATATATAATAATAACATTAATATTCTTGTATATAATAATATACAAGAATTGCTCGTTTAAGGGTATAAGAATTATGAAAAGGAATAAACTTTAAGGTTGCATGTTCTAGTTTAAGCAGGGTTTTAGAATTGTATCTTCTCCAACCATAAAACTAAGAACTCTACAAGCAAGCGATATTAAATTCACGTCGAGTAAAATTGAAACTAAACACGATGAACGCCATATTATGAAAAACGGAGTATTTTCATTCAAGCCACTTTTAAAATATCTTCAAAACTAGACGGTAAAAGGCGTATTTTTTTTTTTATCTTGCACGGAAGATAAAAATGATCGCATTTTATAAATTTGAATGAAAATCTCAAGTTGATAAAAATTACTGATACCCTGCTTTCGGCTTAGCCCGAATGGTATAGTATGCTAGGCCCGCCGGTTGGCTGCATGGCGTTCAACGTGTATAATAATAATATATGAGTAACAGAATGTGCCATGAATAACAAAAACAAAGAATTTCGGACCTATGAAGAGTTTTGTGAACGTAATAACATTTTCAAGTATTTCAGATGCGGGGGTGTGATCCTTAAGGGTATACGATTTCGTCAAATTCCTAGAATTTCATATCCCACGAGTCTGTTGGTTCCATCTAGCAAAGACGAAACTGAATTGATAAAGGCAAGTTAACTTAGTTCGATTAGATATTTAATGCACTTTCATATGATAATTCTACAGCTGTTAATTGCTTTTGGTTTATTTTAGTTGAAAATACAAACTTCCTCTTGTTCAAATACGATGCTTCTAAGCGCAGAACCTGGGAATATAAATTCCATTCATTGGGCTCAAGTCTTTGAGCCATCTGGATCTGAAATTCTTGTGAAGGTAAACTAAATCTTTTAATATTCCGTCCAAGACAATGGAATTGAATTTATCAGGTAAACTGTTAATTGAAAAACAGTATGAACAATTTCGATTGTTACACTATTGTACAACAAGAACAAATCGTTGAGAGCTGCATATAAGAGCTTATTCTTTTTATAATTTAGCTTCTCTCTGTATCTGCTTAGATCGAAGAAACCATAATTTTTTTGTTAAATAATAGATTATAATGTATAGAGTATATTGATTTTAGGTTCACTACGCAAGTCTTACTCCTATAGATGGTAAAAAGGCAACAGGAGCAGTATCTCATCAAGTGAACGAAATCTGTTATGGTATGGATTACAGCGGTGTTACTGAAAGGTACAATAATTGTAACAATAAAAGGTAAAAAAGTCTAATTCTGACTATGTGGCAACGTTCATGAGTGAAAGTGGATTGAATATAGCGAAATTCTTTATTTCATTTCACAATCACTTCGTACACGTCTTTCTAAAACTTTTCCTATGTTCCTACTCCCTCTAACCTTAAACTGCTATCTCTTTCTGAAAATAATAGAATGTTGCCACTGCAACAAGCTTAAACAAAATAAATATTAAAAAAAAAACTAAAAAAACACACGCCAATCCTGGTCATTCGTCTGACCCAGATGAACTACCTTCATCCACGACACAAGGCTTCATTAGGTCGCCGGACTTTTCTTAGAGCGTACCGGTCATGGGGTTGCTTAGCCACTGCTTCGTAAGGCCCCAGAAATTTTGGATACAGCTTACTTCCCTGGGTGAATTGAGTTCGCTTGATAGCAACCAAGTCCCTACTTGACATTCTCCTCTTGTATCTTCTTGATAGCTTCTATAGCTTTAGTCCTTGGTTCATTTCGTTTCTCACTGTAATTCTGTATTTCCTCTTCTTCTATTAGCTTCATAATATCTTCATTTTTGTCTTTCATCTTTGTCCCAAAAAGAAGTTCAAAAGGCGTCATACCACTACTACTTTGGTACGTGCTATTCAAACAGCGTTGTACTCCTCAAATTCGTCTTTACAATTTCGTCGGATCATCAGCACTAAGCTTACTTAAAATGCTTATGATTACTTGGCGGGGTGCATGATATCAGTACAGCCAGATACAAATAGTATAGCCAAAGAAATTTTGTTACAAGTTCATACACAATATAATGCGAAAAGGCTTTCCCCAACCTATTTATATAACTAGTCTAACTATAAATACTGTTACATAAAAACTTTTCTTTTTTCAACTTTTTAATTATTTTGAACTTAGATTACGTATATTATTTAAAAACTTCTTTCGATTTTGCGCCATTTCACATATTTTTTCGTATTCACAAATTACAATATGAAATGGGATGTTAAAGAAAATAGGATTACAGTGATCGCCTTGGACAAACTGAGTATGGAGCCGTCGGTCATATTCTAGACACTTTAAAAGCTCGGTATCAGCCGTATGTTCGTGTATCGTACTATCAACACATAACACATCTCGTCTGTCGAAGACCAGAAAAGATCGAGGCGGCCGCGTGCTCTTAGAACTACAAATGCTTGCTTTGTTAATGCTGTTAAAGCCAGACTTCGTCGAAACCCCATTAAAAAGCAAATAATCTTATCGCGAGAAATGAAGACTCCCGCTAGGACTCTGTCGCGTATTATAAAACAAGACCTAAAGCTAGTTGCTTATCGTCGACAGGACATGCCCTAAATAAATCTTTACTATTAAAGAGAGTGAATAGATCACAACGCCTTCTGTCGCGATACTTACTGGTGGTAGGACCTCTTGTGAGTCCGCGCAGGTAGTACCATCACCCTGCCTATTTTTGTCGTGAAGCAGTAATGCGTTTCGGTTTGAAAGGTGAGGCAGCCGTTGTAACACTATACTTGAGACCTTAGAACTTATATCTCAAGTTGAATGGCGCATTTACGTTATAGATGTCTATGGGATCCAGTAACCACTTAACACCAGGTGGGCTGTGAGCTCGTCCACCTATTTAAGCAATAAAAAAAAAACGCAGCGAAAGGCACAGTAATTCCTGTTTACCTATGAAAACATTTTCACGATTGAAGAACACTACAATAAACAAAACAATAAAGTGCACCCTCACAGTTCTAATGAAGCTGCTCAAGTGGTCGGAAGGGTACAACATGGTCATCATCCTGCCTCAGTGATGGTTCGGTGGGGCATGTCTTATCAAGGAGTCACAAAACTACATTTTTGTGAAAAAGGAGTGAAAACTTTAGCCAAAGTGTATCAAGATACAGTCTCGGATCATGTTGTGAAACCTCTCAGCAATACACTTTTTAAAAGTATACCGTGAACTTTCCAGCAGGACTCTTGACCTGGTCACAAGGTACAAACTACCCAAGCCTGGCTTGAAAGCAACGTTCCGGAAATAATAAGAGCTGAGGACTTGCCCTCATCTAGCCCAGGACTCAGACTTGAAATTAGACTTGAAACTATGGTCAGTTTTAAAGAACATGGCCTGCTCTAAATAATACGGCGACATTAAGTCTCTTAAAAAATCTTTGAAGCAATCAGTGGTGAAATTTCCTTTAGAAACAGTTCGTAAATTCATAGATTCGTGGCCAAACAGATTAAAAGCCTGTATAAAAGCTGAAGTTGCCATTTCGAATATAGTTTTTTATTTTATTTTTGGCTGAGACTTTAATAAATATTTAGATATACATTTTAATAATGTTACATTACTTCATTAAAACAATGCATTTTCATTTGTAACAGAACTTATGGCTGAACTAGGTACATACATATAATAGTAGTTATGGTGTTTAAATAAGAAAAGACGAAATTGCGTTTCTTCTAAACAACAAGAAACAACATTTAATGCCCTTTCTTCAATAATTCTTTATCACACATTTCACAACGTCCATTAACCGAAAAATTATTTTAAACAACTGTCAATTGTCATATGACAGATTGACATTCAATCATTCATTACATCTCCCCCGCTGAAAAGACAATTGTAAGAGGCAGTGAATGGTTTTACAATTATTTATCACATCAGATAGACACTGGAGACAACTTTTTTATATGGTAGAGGTTTGATTCTGCTTTTTTGTATCCGGTGTCAACTTCATAGATCGATTCTGAAATCTTCTTTAGTATTTTGTATGGCCCTGTTCTCAATTCATCTATTTTCTTCCTGTTTAGTTTATTTCCATTCTCCACCTAAACACTATCTCCTTCTTCCAATACCCTTTTCTGTACTGGTCAAATATATTTTTATTATAATTGTGAGATTTTATTGTGTTTTCTAAGGCTAATTTTCGATCTTTTCTCAAATCTTCTGTTGTACAACTTGTTTTCAAATGTAGTGGTAGAATACTCACATTTTCACCCTCTAGAAGGTACCTGGGAGCAAATTTTGTAACTGTGTGTTCTGTTTCATTTTATTTTTCTACGCATTCTTGTGCAATTGTTGTCCAAGCTGTCTTCTTATCACTTTCGTTTATTTTACATCTAATCTTATTTGTTAGTGTTTGATTTAATCTTTCGTTAAGCCCATTCGAAAAAGGCGCATCAACAGCTGTGAAAACTATTTTGATATTATTATTCTTTATAAATTCTTTAAATTTTTTTGAATTTATGCCAGGGTATTGGTCTGATAATACCATATTAACGTCATAGTTTTTTGTTACCTTTTGCATTAGCTTAATGAAATCATTGGAGCCTTGAGTTTTTGATGTGCAAATATAGGCATACCGTGTGAAATGATCCACTAGAAGATGCAAATACCTTTTGGTTGATCGGGATCCTCCAAAGCCTCCAATAGTATCGATGGATACAATTTCAAACGTGTGTGTGGCTGGTCCCAAATGTGACATTAAACCATATTTCGACTTCCTCCTGGACTTGTTTTTAATGCAGGTTTCACACTCATTACACAATTTATTAATGTTTGCAGTAATATTCTTGGCTGAAAAGAATGGTGTTATTTTATTTGTCATCTGGGTTCTTCCAATGTGGCAGTAAGTGTCATGGACTTTTTTTATTAGAGCTTTGATAAGTTTTTCTGACAGTATAATCTTATTTCTTCTTTTATTTTTCTTGTAATAAACTTCATTCTCTAATATGTGCTTATTCTTTTCTTTTTGTAGGTCTGAATTTGTTAGCTGGTCATTCTTTATTTCTTGTAGGTCGATTAAATTTACGACCTTTAAAAAATCGTCGTTATTATCATTTGCTTCTAGGACTGGATTTCGGCTCAAGCAGTCCGCTTCTTGATTTGATTTTCCTGGGTTGTATTTAATTTCAAAATTATATTGTGATAGATAATATGTTAAATCACCTAGTTCTTCATCAGTTCGAGCTTTAATGTTCATATTGATGTGCCTTTGGAAAACATACAGCATTGTATTATGAAGAAGCAGTGTGTACTTAGCTTAGATTCCTTGTCTATGTCCAACCATAGACAGTCAATTTAGTTCCATCTTTAGCCGCTAGGTGCTGCCAGCAAGTATAAAGGGAGCGCAGCCATCTTTGATCTTCATAGCGTTGTGTACTTTCGTACTGTGAAGTCGCNTCAAAACATCTCGAGAGGCTTGGTCTCAACAAAAAGTCGGTGGTGGCCCAAATGCAAAAAGCAGTCTTGCTCGACAATGCCCGTATAGTTCGCCGGTTTCTCTCCCAATAGTCCCTAACGCTCCGGCCGATTGTTGCCCACCTCGCCGGAGTGTGTCCTGCCGTCTTCCCAGGCGTGGCAGTGTTTAATACACTATAATAATAATAAATCAGACAATCAGAAACCATTCAACACATAACAGGAGCATGCACTACCCTCACACAAACAGACTATACACACAGACACAATCAGGTAGCAAATACTATTCATCAAAAACTTGCACTCAATTATGCACTCATACAAGACACAAACACTCCATATTACAAATATAATCCACAAACCATTCTAGAAAATACTACGCACAAACTCTATTACGACCGCGCCATTCTCACCGATAAGACAATTCATTATAATAGACCAGACATAACTGTACAGGACAAAGTTAACAAAATCACTTACCTTATTGACATTGCTGTTCCTATCACACACAACATACAAAAAACAATAACTGAAAAAATAAGCAAGTACGCAGAACTCAAAGATGAAGTGAGCAGAATTTGGCGACAGGAAAAAGTATACATAGTACCAATAGTTCTCTCCACAACAGGCGTCATTCCCAACCATCTTCTCCATAGCCTAAAACTATTAGACCTCAAAGAAACTCTCTACATAACTCTCCAAAAAGCCGCAATCTTGAATACATGTAGAATAGTCAGGAAATACTTGCAGATAGACGAAAACGAAATTGCCCCTCATAATAACATACCGTCAACATAAATAATAATTTTCCTTACTACACGCTGCGTTCACTTGGTTTAGGCCCGTGGATGTGGTTCAGACTAGCCAAAGTGCTAAGAAAAGATTACCTTTCTGAAAAATAATAATAATGTTTTTATTTCAAGTAACCATGACTCATATAAATTTTTAATAAGATATATATTCTTCTTTGCTGTGATGTAATGTGCAAATAACGTCTTCGTTGATATCTGCACACCTTTCGAGCCTCCTTTTTCTTGTTGCACGATATTATTTTGGTGTATGGTGTATTTTATATTTAGTTTTTAGTGCGACTTTAATGACATTAGTGTTTACACTTCGAAGACCGGAACCGGAAAATCCATACTTATAAACAGTCTTTAAAAGCAATAACTATCAATTTAAAAAAAAGTTTTTTCGCGCCCCCAGTCTTCAAATAAAAAGATTGGAATACTTTATATAATCAGTTTGTTGACCGTCTATCTCTCACACTTAAATCCACTTGGTATCCACTTGAAATGAGTACCTAATAATAATGTTTACTCGAATGGAAGTCATAAAAAAATCAAGCTTCTAAGTCAACGGAATCAAAAGCCATAGCCATATTTTGTCATTCATAAAAACCTATAGGATACTTCCAGTTTTCAAGGATGATCATGAAATTTAACAAGTAGCAAAAAGATCTTATAAAACAAGTAAAGAAAAACTTCCCAAAATAATGGGCACTCCCATAGCATATTCTCAATATTACTGCTAAGGGTTTCCTTGTGTAGGAAAAATCTTAGCTTGTAGTCGGAAGCCATACAGCACCAGGCTTAGATGCACTTGTCTGGTTTTTTCTTATTTATAATTTTGAAGATCACCGACGCGAAGTACTGCGATGCATTTAAACTGTATGGACACACGGTCCATTTTATATTAACTTTACATACCATTCAAGTCAAGGTTGTATTTTAATTGTTTTGTTTTCGCTTTATAATTACATATATCCAAATTATTTACTCGTTTTTTTTTTTGTAGTGGACATCGTGTGATGGGTATAGTTCATCGAGGTGCTTGTCGAAATTATCTTCGAGCTCACCCCGATCTGTTGTGGCCAGTCCCGGATCACTGGAGTCTCGAAGACGCAGCAACTGTTCCTTTAGCTTATGCGTATGCTTTTTACTGTCTAGTGAGTATTGACGTCTGTTTGATTATGTTATTTTGCTCTATTCAATTACCGATACATCCATGGGACCCTTCTGTTACTAGTTTTCTTTTTTACTTTTTGTGTGGACACACATCGAGGACGCAGTAGCTGTTTACTAATGATAAGTCTGGATTTTACTAATTCACTTTAATACAACGTACAAATGCTCTATGTTATAAATGTTATTGTTATATGTTAATGCTGTAATAAATGTTAATATTAAATGTTAAGGTCGCGAGGACCGAACCATTTTAACCGTTTTTATACGACTGTTATGTTATGTTCAACTTTAAGTAAACGTGCAGTGTGGCGTTATTGCTTGCTAAAATGTTCGATCGTATTACACCGAACAATTTTGGTAATTTTCCATCTTCCAGATAATTAAAGCAAAACTTTATTCGGGTATGAAAATTTTAATACACGAAGGAGCTGGAGCACTCGGCCAGGCTGCCATATCCATTGCTCTGGCACACAAATGTCAAGTGTTCACTACAGTTGGTGACGTGAGAATGAAAAGTTTCTTGAAAAAGCTCTATCCAGAATTGAAAGGTAACAAAATCATTGCATTTTTAAATATAATTCTTATAAGGTGCAGTCATTTGGGCCTCTTTATATCCACGTTGGTTCCTGGCGTCTATCAAATCGATGGGATGACGATATTCGTAGAATCACAGTTGCATAAGATTGGCAATTGAATCCCAGAATAAGCAGCGTACTCGCAATAAAAATTGTTTTCGGCAATGGGCAAATATAGTCTGAAAATGGAAAGTTTTGGAAACCAACCCAGAAATATATGATTGTCAAATTTTCAGAACAACACATTGGGAATTCTCGAGATGTGACTTTTGGTGACATGGTACTATCAGCAACAAATGGGAAAGGTTGCGATGTTGTAATATGCAATGTCGAACCCTGGCTCAAACATGTAAGGAAACAGAATATTTTTTTTGTACTTAGCTAAACGTGGCATTGAACACTTTGAGATAAAATAACGTTCTTAATTTCAGGTTTCACTTCAATGTTCTGGTGCTCTAGGCATTGTTATTGACACGGCACAAATACAAAATCAGCACAAGTTCGAATTCCGTATGAAAAATTTAATGAAAAGTAGATCCTATGTGATTGTTGATTTTGCATCCATTTTTGATTCTGCGAATAGGGAAGAATTGAAAGTTAGTGAAAATTTTCTTGATATATCTTAATTGACCTATAAGTGACTTTAGCCCTGATAATATAAAGTGACTACAGTTGTTGACCTAGAGACACGATCTTAAATCACGATCGCATTAGAATATCTCTTACTGCGATGCATGTCTCTGGCAATTTCAATGAAATTTTGGAGCTGTCAAATTCCAGTCCGTTGATTTGGTCCGCATGCACAGAAATTACAGATTCTCATGAGTGAGGGCATATGTGAGGGCTACGTGCGACCACTAGTGCGAGTGACTTATGCTGCAGATGAAGCTCCACGAGCTCTACGCCTGTTATCGAAGAGTTGGCATCGAGGACATGTGCTTTTAAGACTTACAGCTCGAGCGCTTCCAGCTAGCCTTAGGTAAAGTCTAAATTTTGGAATTTCTAGGTTCTTTTACAATACAGAAAGCACCACATAACATGATAATTATTTAAAACCATGAGCTAACAAGATCTTTAATAAGTCACCTTATTAAAAGATGTCACCAATTGAAGTTATATCAGGTATAATATTACAATTACAGGATTAACTGTACTTCTAAATGCAGCCATTTAATCATCTTCAGCGACGAATATTTTGGTATTCAGTTGGCAAAAAGGCTTATCAATAGAGGTGCCAGAATGTTACATATCTGTTGTTCGAAGCCTTCGTGGTATCTTCAACATCAAACAGAGTTAGTAAAAAATATAACATTCATGCATGGATTCGTTCGTTACGAAAGCTTTATATCCCTTTATAGATTCTGAAATTTCACATATAATTAATTAATTCGATTTAAAATGTTACGAATTACATTACAAGTATTTCTAAAATTATGTCTAAACGTTATAGCTGATGGATGAATACGTTGTTGAATATTTTTTTTTATATTTAAGAATTCAAACGATTGTCACTACAGATCTACAAAATTAGTCTTAAATGAAACCGACAGCCACTGGTATTTAATTACAGCAGAATGTTATCTGCCAACGCTGTATTGAATAGTGTCATCTGGTTCCCCACTCGCACAGACAAGATGCGCTTATTTCTTTTTCTCAATACTTTCTTTTTTCATTGTAAATTAATTTTAGCATAACCATAATCAGAATCATCATCATCATCATCTTATTATCTACTTCTGATCATCATCATCTTACATACTATAAGTCTGTTTGATTACTTATCAGAATACGACCATGGTCAATACTACTACTTATTCCCAATAATGCTATGTTTATCACTATAATATAGTGGTAAAGCGGTAATATAGTGGCATATGTAGGTACTACTGCATCTGATAATTCGATAAGACTTTTCTATTAGAAAGGTCGTATTCACATATTGGTATGTGCGGGCTCCAAGCCAGGAAAGTCTGGCAATAGTACTAGGTACAATACCGACTAAATTATTGGATGTCCGCAATCACTGGATTAATATTATTCTATTTATACGCAACACTTCAAGCTTTATATATATTTATAGAATTAATTAGATCAGTAGTGTTTTATTTCAGAAATCTCAAATCTCTTGGAGTGAATGTTATCGTATCTTCAAATAACTTAAATGATTTGGATGACGTTGCAACCGTGCTAAAGAAAACTATAGCCATGGGACCGGTAGAAGGCGTATATGTGACGAGCTTCAAAGATATGGACAATAAATACATATCAAATAGCTTGGAATATCTTGATGTTATGTCACGAAAATTTTGCCCATCCCTCAAGTGAGAATTATTATAATATTCATAATTTACTAAAATTAGACTAAACTTAAATATTATGTTTGGCTATTTATTATTCGGATCTCTAGGTATAGGTACAGGGTGTCCCACTACTATAAAAAAATTTATACACGTAAAAAAATTACCTGTCGAATCGTACTTATTTATATATATATCGTATTTATTTATTTTTATTTATTTATACTTTATGCACAAAACAAAACTTGTACACAGGCGGACTTAATGCCATGGGCATTCTCTTCCAGTCGACCATAGGGTGGTGCAGAAATAATGCATGGTAGGTGCATTAACAAAAGAATAACAAACAACAACAAAACAAAAAAGAACAAAATAAAAAAAAAAACTTAGTAGACAGAATTCATACAAAATGTAAATCAATTTTAGCATAATCATAATATTCATACAAAAACGAATTTATTAATTGTTTCTGTTCGATAATAGAACTTAATTCACAACAAAAGTACCGCTAAGCCTTTTATTTACTTTAACGCGTCATAACGAGATGGACAATAACGAATTCGATCAACTCATTTCAAACAAGGAATACAAGAAAAATGCAACCATATTACTAGCAGAATAAGGCCCAAAACAAATTTCAAACTTATTACGGCGAATATTATAAAATTTGACCTGTAAAGCAAAAAAAAAGCTGTTTAATACGTCGACACCGCTGGAGCGGACTAGTGGTGTCGGCGCCGATGTAACAGGGACATAGCTTATTTGGAGGAGAAAAAAGTATTCAGTATATGCTCTCAGTTCGTGACACCAGTTTGTAATAGATGTTCTTCCTGATAGTACTGACTGGTATAAGGGCGTCTTGTGAGGCCGCACGGGTAGGTACCACCCCATGCCTATTTCCGCCGTGAAGCAGTAATGCGTTCCGGCTTGAAGTGTAGGGTAGCCGTTGAACTGTAAAACTGAGACACAGAACTCATGTCTCAAATGGGCATGCGGTATTTGTGTTCTTTATGTATATCTACTCCAGTTTATTTAAAGTAATATATTATACCATATTTAAACCATTTACCATATTTAAAGTAAATATATTTAAAACCAAAAACATAAATTCGCATTGGCCAGTCTAATTTTTTACTATGGATATGAAATAACAAAATCTTTATAAACGTTTTTCGAGGTCTGATATACAACGACGATTTCGACTTTGTATTAAAATTCGCGTACAGGAGACAACTTGAAGATCGGTAACTGCCATCACTTATTTATGTTCAAGTCAAAATGTTGAAGGAGCTATCATCTATAAAGACTTTCGAATCGTGTGGCAAAATTAATATATCGATCAGCCTTCTTTTACTCGAAAGTACTGGCTTTAGACCGCCAAGGGTGATTCACGGATAAAATAAAATGTTAATATTTTATTTTTAGATATTTTGCAGTGATCACAAATAGTGAAAACTTCGGGAAAAAAATGTCGATTTTCAGAGCGAAGGATAATTTAGTTATTTCACGTATTGAAGTTCAAAAGCCAGATTTTTGTGTGAGTTTGACTTTTAAAAATCACATTTTAAAATCTCAAAACGTAACTATGTTTTTTAATTTGTATTTTGATGCTACATCAAATTTAAAGCGAAAATCTATTGTGTTCGCAATGCGCGATTTGCCTATCAGTTTTCATTTTACATGACGGAGAAAGCAATACAACGATTAAATTATATAAATATTCCAAAATCCAATGTTATCCAAAAAAGGGAATAAAAGTCGTCGTGGTTTAAGGGTTAAGACGCCCGATATATTCGTAACGAGTGGTGCGAGTGTGCCGGTATTCGAATCCCGCAAACAGGTACCAATCTATTTTATGCAAATACGTACTTAACAAATGTTCACAAATGACTTCCACGATAAAGAAATCTTTTGAAAAAGTCTTATGAGCCAGCGCGGGTACCACCACCCTAACTATTTTTGCCTTGAAGCCTTAATAGGTTTCGTTTTCAACACGTCCTTAAGGATCAATCAGATCCAATAACTCTTACATTAGACACCTTCAGCTCTAACACTAGGAACGGGCTTAGGGACCCCGGTATCCGTAATCGTCAAACTCAAAACTCAACAAATAAAAAAAATACCAAAACAAAAGAGAAAGGCTCACATGTACGAAGTTAACGATACGACTAAGTTATTCATTAAAATAATCCATCAGGGGGATACACATACTGAAGTACTGTTATACAGAAGAGCTTGGGATCTATCGCTATTAGACGCAGTCGAGACTGGACTTTGCTCCAAGCTTCCATTGTTGATCGCACAAATCAACACTGAGACGTCGCCGCTATATCAACAGCTTGCTGATGTCGCTGGTAAACCTATTTACTTTTAATACGGGTATTTGTATGAAATACAAGATTGTACTTTGTAACAATAAGTCTTGCACTAAACAATTAATGATGATGATTTGAATTCATTTTTAGATCTTCCATTATTAAAAGAGGCTGGCGACATGACCACTCTACAAGATTTGGCTGCTGGAAGTGACAATATAAAATTTATTAAGGAATTTTTACGTCTGAAATATCACGTTTGTATTTCGGAACACAACGTTTTGAAGTTAAATAAACAAAAGTAAGTTTATCATATCCAATAATTGATTTATCCACTTTAATGAGGAGAAGAAAGATTTTTTTTTACTAACACTTTCCTGGGTTTCAGACTTCGTGAGATAGATTTTCTTGAAAACAACTTTGAGCACAGACAAGGTTTGGCTGTTTACTTCTCTCACATAGCTGAAGATGAGCTCAGCTCCGATACTCCTATATATTTATTGCCTACTCTCGGTAATGCAAATGCGGTGAGTAGAGTATTGGAAAACTGTCGAAAAATTCTCGAATTGACAAGTTATTATATTTAGCCTTTGACCTCTAATGCTTTCCGACGAACTAAAGTGGGCTCTACATTATTTAAAAAAGGTCAAAAAGTAACCTTTTAGTAAATGGAATTGTCCTTGACGTACTTATTAGTAGGTTCTTACTAGGATACAAAACAATATTATACTTGTTAACATTAATTAAGAGAAAATTTTAAATGTAACATATAATCATTAAACTAAGTAACTATATAACGAACTTAAAAAAAAGTAGCATATATTAACTAAAAATAACGTTAACACAAAATCTGTGCAGGAAAAACAGGTCGATGCACTGAAGTCTGAGTACTTGTGCGTTGTTCCTGGGATTGAAGGTCATCATGTAAGATTTCGTGGTCTCTGTGAGAGACTCAAACTGCCCGCGCTGGTGCTGCAGCCAAGTTTGAATGTGTTGCACGAAACCATAGAACAGGCTGCTCAAAGCTACTCTAAGGTACCTAAAATTTTTAACTTAACTGTAACCAGTAACTGTTAGAATTTGAATTCGAAAAAGGGTTAGTGTCTTGTTTCTGCCGTTTGTTTTACATCACAGAATTGCTTCTAGAATAAAAAAAAGAATGTCACTTAGAACCAATTTCATTATCTTTTTCATTATTCAAGAGCATATTCGTCATCATTATCATCTTCATCATTATCATCATCATCATCATCATATTCAAGATCTCTTTTCATTATTTTCTTGAAATGTGCAGACATTTCTTCGTCGCAGCGGAACTCATTATAGAATTCGATGGTATGTGGCAAAAATCATCAATAAAAATGTATTGTTTAGTAGCGCAGTGGTTCGAAGAAGAACTGATGAAGTCTGGTTCGGTTTAGGTACCATAGTCAAAATAACTCTTATTGAGGTCAACAGTATATGAAGTAGCGGGTATTTTGGAGCCGAGGCTCCCTAGACGGGAGTAGATCTCCACGCGAATCCAGCCTTGTACTTTGTGATGCACAAATCGTTGTCCTGATGTGTGCTTTAGTCTGTTAAGGTCTGCCGACATTTGTTTAATACTAAACACCGCTCCATACTGGACCAGATTTCCAGAAGAACGAGCACAATGGAGAGAGCTGGAGGAGGCTTATGCCGCGAGGCACGCCGAACTGCGAGATATTATAAGACATATTAAATGTATAAATCCAAAAATGTTAAATTGCATCAGAATAAAGGGCTTTATTTTTATATTGTTAAAACCGCTCCAACCATTGAATCCTAAATGTCTTAGAAGGTTTCTAAAGGATATTCCTTGAATTCGAACATTCAAGGGTATCAAATTTAAGGGCAATCTTATTTTCTATGAAAAAAATGGGGGATACAAAAAGGCAAAACTCGCAAAACAACCATCACTACAGTTATTTTAGGCTATGTCAACTAAATGATCCAGCTATAAAAACTGACCAACAAAAAAGAATACTCGTGAAACATGATCCATCAAATGCTGCTTATTTTCAGATACTCATGGAAAAAATTGGTGTCGGTAACAATTTCTACTTGCTTGGGTGTGATATTGGAATTTTGATTGCGATGGAACTAGCTGCAATACTTGAGAGAAATGGTAAATTATTCCAAAACAATTTTACAACAGCAAAAAACTAAACAATTCAGATGTATTCTATATCATAGTAAATCCTATAAATGCATATTAATTTCGAGAATCATTTCCATTCTAGAGTCATTTCCATTTCCAAATAAACAACGGAGCTTAAGGATTTCAAAATGAAATTTCGCTCTAGCTAAATAGTTTTCCCTATATTATTATGCAAGCTACCGTTTAAAAAAGCGAATGTAATGCGTGTAACTATACTTAAACATTTGGTATTTTTATAATAATTGCAGGTTTTTTAGGCACCATATTTTGTCTCGGAACTACACCAGAAGACGTCAAGCCAGTAATGGAACAACAACTAGGGGCGTTCTCAACAGAAGACCAACTGCAGCTTGGAATTTTAAAACATATTTTTACGCTACTAACTGGTGAAGTACCATCAGATTTAGATGAAACTCTGGACCCTCACTCTTCATGGAATGAAAAAATTGACGCTTGTATCAAAATGATGGCCGGTCGTATAACACAAACAAAGCAATATGTGAAAGCGTTAATAAATTTCGTCTATGAAAGAATTCTTAGCATCAAACAGTATGAATCCTCATCTTTGCCAATACTGAAGTCTAGAGTCGTGATACTCCGCTCCCCAGGATATTCGTCAACTTCATCTGCATCATCATACGTAATTGAAGATATATCAGCACCACTTTGTGATGCTGCAAAAGATGTGCGATGTGCAGCCGTCATCAATGACAATTTGTCAACTGAAATATTGAAAGAATTCAAAACGAAGAACCTATGTGATATCTTTGTGATAAATTTTGACACAAGTACGTAAAGGCGTACTAATATTAAATAAATATAATTTTTGTTTTGCCACATAATCATCATCTTTAATTTCTATTTTATTTATTTTCTTCCTGAAGCTTTGCTTATAGACAGATTAATACCAGAACTTAAGGGGCTGGAAATACCAAATCCGGGAACGGGATGATTTCTGTTTTATTTACTACATTGATTAGTGCCAGAAAACCAATTTTTGATTTAATTTTTATTACATGATTTTAATCCTACATCCCAGTTGTGATTTCCATAATGAACTTTACATTATATATATATGGAGGCTCTGAAACTTTTCTCGGGACTGTTTCTCTGGCCACTTTATACTAAGCTGCAACCATGCCTGTGGTGCCTTTATGTCGTTTGTACATAAGCTTAGTATACAGATACGGAGACGATGCTGTGTCCACTACTGCTTAGGGGAGCCAAACTTATTAACATCAGAATGTGAATATGACCTCTTCGAGACATGTTTTAATTACTATAGAAAGAGCCACGGCAGCAACATTTTTATCGTGAAGTAATAAAGAATAGTAATAATAGGATAAAGAACAGTAATAAAGAGCAAAGAAGTAGAGAAGAATTTACGCGATATTTCGCGCAAATTCATCTTTCTTTTTTATCAACTACAATTTTCAATTTCGTTTGGCACCTAAAATGGATATTTTGAAGGTTATTTTATCAATAGTACACACACGCCATGCGTTCAATGATTTATGTGAATGATAAACATAATAGGTAAAACCAATATTTATTCCAAAAAAGTTAATGCGATTTCTCCCTTTTCCATTACTTTTTTTCACTGTCTAATTCAAATCAGTGACAAAAGACATGTACGTATCCGCACTAAGTAAATACGTTTCACACAAATTCTTCTTATTGAATTGGTCCAAAATTTCATCGTCCAGATATTTGTTGATTATGGTAGCGCAACGCATGTCCATGGCGGCATGCGGTAACGGCGCCAGCAAGTTGTGTTCGGTGACCCCTCCCCGCGACAGCCGCTGCCATTCTGGCGGAGCGGAGCGCGCGGTGAGCGGAGAGCGCAGCAGCACGAGCCGGGAGCGTAGGGGCGCCGCCGGGCCGCCGTAGCGCCGCGCGTAGACGAGCCGCGCGCACGCCGCCTCGATCTGTGCGCGCGCGTACTGCGCCGAGTGGGACACGTGACCCAACAGCGTTCGCACTCCCGCATCCACTCGGTCATTCCACAGAGTATGTTTCGAAAATGCGTTCTCTACTTCCTTAAAGTGTTCACGGGCCATAATTTTAAGCATGTGCCTTGCCACGGCCTCCTCGAGCTGATCTGTTTTGAATCCTTGCAGTTGATATTCTATCTCATTCAACACATCATTTGGTGATCCTCCCAACAAAAACAATGTACCCGTCAGACCTAAAAGTAAACAGCGGATTAATAAATACAAGCTCATTACTGCGTGATTAATCACGAATCAAACGTTGAAACGTAAATTTACCGTGTTCTTCCAGAATAGCCGTGAGTTCTAACGCAACAAATATACCAGTTTCATATCCCAAAATGTAGAAATTATTTTTTATCGCTGATTTTCTTAGCAGAGACTGAAAAGTAGAATCATTTTCATTATTTTCATGAATAACCGACTATAGCATTGCGTGTAAAGAGTGCCTAATGTAGAAAATATAATTCAAATGATCAGCATGTAAATTGAACAAAATCTAATAGATGCCTTACACTAGCATATCGTTGTGCTGTCTGCTGTATGGTCTCGTCCAGCTTGTCCAGCCCGGGTTGCAGCACGAGCGCGGGCAGCTTGAGTCGCTCGCACAAAGCTCGAAACCGCCCATGGTGTCCCTCCAAACCCGGGACGATACACAGCGATGTCACAGTCACGTCGAACTCATCATCGCGCTGCAATTCATTAGCTGAGTAGGGTCTAGTCCTTTTCGAGTATTATAAAATAAAGTGATTTCCATTCGACTTACCGCAGTTGCACTACTAGTGAGTGTCGGCATGAACACCATTTCAGTTGTGGCTAGCAGTTCGTCTGGATCTACATACGAATAGAACGCTTCCAACCCTTTCTTTGTACTATAACCAGGCGCAACAATAGCGTCCTCCATTTCCTTAATTCTGTAATTTTAAGAATAAGGAAAAATAATGAGGTGATAAACTATAGTTTTGATTATAAGACTCGTAATAGTTTTTAACTTCATTTAAAATAACAAGTATTTTTATCGTGACCCCGAACCAATATGTAGCATTATAGTACCTATCTCTATCCTGAAACAGCCATGCGTCCAGATTTAAAAAGTTTAGCAGCAGTTCTACAATAAAAGTGATACTATGATCTAATGCCTCAACATGGGCAGCGGTAGTCGTGTTATGATGTCTATGGGCTCCTGTAATTTAAGAAAACGCGTTTTACCAGAAAAATGTTACTGAGTACTCGAGGTGGGTCGCGGCATTTACGTTGTTCATATCTATGAGCTCCGGTGAGCACTAAACACCAGGTTTTTTTTTCTATTGCCCTTGAAGGCTGACGAGCATACGGCCCACCTGATGGTGAGTGGTTACCGTCGCCCATGGACTTCAGCAATGCCAGGGGCAGAGCCAAGCCGCTGCTGGTGGATTGCGAGCTCGTTCGACATTAGAAATAATGAGATAAAACTGTTAAGTCTATGACACGCGAAACCCGAAAAAAATACTACAACTAGATTCACTCGTACATTCAATCGCGTACCTTTGGAACGTTAGTGAAAGAACGTCTTCTTCATTTAGTGTGATGCCATAATGAACTCGCAGATAGTTTGAAACAAACGATGTTTTCTCATTCACCACACCCAATTCACCGAGCGTAGTATTCTCATCAGAGATTCGAGCTACGTCAACATCTAAAAAAAATTCATAAAGTTAATTAGTTGATGTTGCAGCTTTATTATAATCGAATCAGGTATTTCTTAAAAGCTCGCACGGAATAATAACCCAATCTTGTTTCTTACGAGGCAATCATAACTTAAATTGTAGGACAGTCGGTATATTAAAATTTGTATGGGATTTTCATTTTATTTGTATAGGCTAGCAAGTAGCTTGTGTGCCAATCGATGACAATGGAGAAAAATATTTTAATAATAACTTAGTTTACTTTTCAAAAATGTACAAGAGACAGAATCCAATTGATGACAAAATAGATACAAGTATCAATTCTGCTGACAATGCTGTCATTTGGACAAAATTTAGAAAATAAGAAATTATGTTTACCAGTTATAGCACATAATTGTTGCAGCAGCGACTGTTGAGAAGAACTAGGGAACGCAACCACCGAATTATCTCCGGAACAAAGCGCAGCCTCCGTCGCTTCTNAATGTACAAGAGACAGAATCCAATTGATGACAAAATAGATACAAGTATCAATTCTGCTGACAATGCTGTCATTTGGACAAAATTTAGAAAATAAGAAATTATGTTTACCAGTTATAGCACATAATTGTTGCAGCAGCGACTGTTGAGAAGAACTAGGGAACGCAACCACCGAATTATCTCCGGAACAAAGCGCAGCCTCCGTCGCTTCTGCATACAGACGGCTGCTTGGAAAATTCTGTGTGTCGAGGTCCTTTGAAAAATAATGGCTTTATCCAACTAGCTGTTTTATTAAATATTACATTCAACTATTATAAGAAGGATACGAAGAATGATATTGATTCTGTACAAATTCATGCTATACGTGGTATCGTCCACAAAAATAAAGAAAGATTGGCGATGTGGTTTCTGCCTAGGGTAGTATAATTATATTGCTTCATGAATATTGCAAACGCCAGCTGGAAGATTTGCTAGGAAATGGATATGCGTTATATCAGGATGCTGCGGTCTTCAACTGGAATTTACTGGTGGTAAGACGTACCGCACAGCTACACAGGTCAGTACCACCATCATATTTTTGCGGCGAACCTGTCATCTGTTCTCGTTTCAAGGTTGAGACAGTCGTTATGCAATAGAATTGAGCTCGAAGTCTCAAGCATTCACGTTGTGATATATCATCTCCGGTAACCACTTCACACCGGATGAGCTGTGGTGAGGTCCATTCAAATTCGAACACAGGCATAGTTTCACCGCTCGACACCTATCATCTTACCCTTTAAGCCACGAGGACCTCAAACTTTTAAAGAGTATAATATGAAATTTCAATTAAATAAGAACTTATGACCAGACCAAGTGTGAATATTTAATAAATATAAAATAGAAGAAAAACAAACAATAAGAAATAAACAACACACAAGTAACTGATAAATGTACCTCTTTCAAATGGCCGATATTAACCACTGTTACTGGGTATCCATCATTTTGTCGCGTTAAACATATTCCTAATCCTAACGAATTGTCATCAGTGACTAAAGTAAAATATCTGAAAATTGAAATACCAAGTTAATATACTTATACCTAGTACCAATGTAGTGTACGGCTTCTTGCTTCGATTTATCGAATATCTATTATTGTGCGATTTAGAAACTAAAATCTACAAGACTACAATTAGGTGTTTTCTACGGCTGCCATTACCTAAACATTCAAGCCTTATTGATCTTTGATCATGTTCCAACGTACCTGAGAGATTGGAATAATTTTCTTGATACAATATCCAAGTTATGAATAGTAGATCGAATTTCTTCAGTTTCACTTCCACATGCATTCGTCGCGTCAACGATGATACCGTCGACGCAGCCCAAACATGCGGCGTCATTTATCAGTTTATGAACTTTAGCCTGACTATTGATCTTCTCAGATGACATTTGCACTTTGACGCCCAATTTTTTCCATTCTCTATAAATAACGTATTTAAAGTAATTAATTAAAAAGCGAGTTAAACTGGCCAGCAAAGTTATGCACGTAAAGAAATCATTGAAGTGCTTCATAAAATATTCATTAAATATACCTAATTATGTCATTGAATCTGGAACATGAAAGATAAAGCCGATATTTTTTTATTATTCGCAATAAAAAAACGGTCCTAAAACTGAAAGTTATTCTACATTACCAAATAACTACTACTACTACTGCACTATTAGACAGAATTACATAAATTAGAAATTAAACTATATAAGAATAAGTTAAAAATAAAATCGATTATTTTACGGAATACGTTTTTTCTTGTTTTCTTGTAAACTCCAAATTTTACTGATTGCGGGTATTGTGAACACGAATGGATAGATACGAACCCATTGATTTTGTAGCTGGATCTTCTCAGCTAGATTCAGCGAAGTACTGCTCTTGCTGGGGCTAGTGTTAGCTAATTATCTCAAGTTGGGCCCGTGAGCTTACCTACCCGTCCGGGCAGAGCTGGAATAGCCCCTTAGGCTACCAGCAAAAGTAGTAAATACCAATAATATCCTGTCTATGTTTACCGTAAATTCATGCGTTCTATTTTGTAGGTTAGGACAATTGATGTACAATTGAGATTCGACTTCTTATATATTAGATACTTCTAATATAGTTGCGTGGCCATGTGACGTCTATGATCTCAACACCAGGTCATAGGTTTCATACTTGGGAAGTGCTCTGAGGAATTGTTCAAGATGATACCAGCATCTCGTTTTTACCATCGCACCGCCCGCCACCGGAGTAGAGTTCATCCATACTATCTGGAGCCACTGCGGTCATCCACAGTACGTTTCCAGAGATCTTTTTTGCCACGTACCATCCGGCTATGGAATGAGCTCCCCTCCACGGTGTTTCCCGAGCGCTATGACATGTCCTTCTTCAAACGAGGCTTGTGGAGAGTATTAAGCGGTAGGCAGCGGCTTGGCTCTGCCCCTGGCTTTGCTGAAGTCCATGGGCGACGGTAATCACTCACCATCAGGTGGGCCGTATGCCCGTCTGCCTACAAAGGCAATAAAAAAAAGAAAAAGAAAAAAAAAAAACTTTAGTGTACCAGGTGGTGTTAAGATCATAGACGTCACACGGCCAGACGTCACACGTCAGACGTCAATTCTGATAATTTTTTTACACCATCACCTCTAATAAAATGATTTTGGCTCGTTTAAAATTTAGTGTAAACTTTATAAAGATAATTATAATCGCTTTTAAGGTCAAATCTTCTTAATTTTCGCATGACTCGTCAAAAGTGATGAATTATATAAGATTGTTTGTCAAACTCACTGCATTTTATAAGAAAGGTACCCAGGTGGAGTGTTATAATGTAAATACAAATTTCTTGCTCCACGGTCGATCAGTCTACTCGCAAGTTGCACTCCAAAAATATCTTGTCCACAAAACAACACATAACAAGCGTCCGGCTTGCACTGAACCCTGAAATGAAATGATCCTCGAATGTTTTTTCAAAGAGAAAACCTGGTGTCAAGGTCAACGACTGTGGTGACAGCACGTGTATTAAGCACGAATAGCTAGCATCATCCTTTAAGCTTTATGTACCACAATCACGGGTTTCTGTCTGATGGACAGTATGGCATTTTTTTTAAACTAATTGAGACATCACCTTTGCAGTAAGCATGATCTCCTACTCAACTACGTCACAAAACAATCTACCTGAGTTTGTTCGAGGGTGGAAATTCATCGAGCTTCAAGAGGATCCGTCCACGGTGCTGTCTGGTCGCCAGCAACCGAAAGGCGCGGGAAACTTCAGAAGGACCATATTTCACTCGTGACAAAGGACGAACGTAACCACGGGATATTCCTTCACTTAACGATGAGTGTAACATCTAGAACATAACAGATACTTTATATGAGGGCTTATGATTGAAAATAATATTTTAAGACTAGTCCTTAAAGGTCAATTTAGCTTCGCACAGTGCAGATAGTATGACTGTTAGACGAGTTCTTTGTTAGAAAACAAAACAAGCATCAAATAAATAATGAATTTCCTCGTACGACTTTAATTATGTAAATAAAAAAACTATAATAGTTTTATGGTTTAATGTCACTTTTAAAAGCCTTTGAAAGCACTGTTCTACTCAGTCAATTTATGACTCTTTTGAAATTCGTTGATCATCAATTCGGTTCAATTAATTCGTTCTTCTATGTAAACAAATATTTGCTGAAGTTCATATCGATGGTCTTTTTTTTTTTTTTTTTATGATTGAAAGTTTACTGGTGGCCCGAAGGCCTTTCCAGTTTCACCAGGACAGGTGGGCGAGCAAAGGCTCAGCCAAGAGGGGTGGGATTTGCTAACAACTGCCCGAGCGCCTCCGAAGGAGACCTAACAACTCAAGAGCAATTGTTTCGCGAATGAGTCTACTACCGGATCGGAATCGCGANCGTTAGATTACAAGATATGGCAACACTTGGAGGAAAAGGCGTGCTCAAAGACTCATCCCAATTTGGAGTCACTCAAGACATCCTTGATTAAGGCAGCCGCCGATATTGACATGGACCTCGTTCGTGCTGCGATAGACGACTGGCCGCGCAGATTGAAGGCCTGTATTCAAAATCACGGAGGTCATTTTGAATAAACTTTAGTGTCATAACAATCTATGTTTTGTTAAGTTCATTTTGGTATATGAATGGTTACATAATGAATAAACACGTTTCAATTATTTTACATTAAACATGTGACAGAATTTATGACCTGACTAGGTATAATCGCTTTTAAGGTCAAATCTTCTTAATTTTCGCATGACTCGTTAAAAGTGATGAATTATATAAGATTGTTTGTCAAACTCACTGCATTTTATAAGAAAGATATCCAGGTGGTGTATTATAATGTAAATACAAATTTCTTGCTCCACGGTCGATCAGTCTACTCGCAAGTTGCACTCCAAAAACATCTTGTCCACAAAACAACACATAACAAGCGTCCGGCTTGCACTGAACCCTGAAATGAAATGATGCTCGAATGTTTTTTCAAAGAGAAAACCTGGTGTCAAGGTCAACAACTGTGGTGACAGCACGTGTATTAAATAGTACGAATAGCTAGCATAATCCTTTAAGTTTTGTGTCCCACAATCACGGGTTTCTGTCTGATGGACAGTATGGCTTTTTTTTTAAACTAATTGAGACATCACCTTTGCAGTAAGCATGATCTCCTACTCAACTACGTCACAAAACAATCTACCTGAGTTTGTTCGAGGGTGGAAATTCATCGAGCTTCAAGAGGATCCGTCCACGGTGCTGTCTGGTCGCCAGCAACCGAAAGGCGCGGGAGACTTCAGAAGGACCATATGTCACTCGTGACAAAGGACGAACGTAACCACGGGATATTCCTTCACTTAACGATGAGTGTAACATCTAGAACATAACAGATACTTTATATGAGTGCTTATGATTGAAAATAATATTTTAAGACTGGTACTTAAAGGTACACACTTCGCACAGTGCACATAGTATTACTGTTAGACAAGTTCTTTGTTAAAAAACAAAACAAACATCAAATAAATAATGAATTTCCTCGTACGACTTTAATTATGTAAATAAAAAAACTATAATAGTTTTATGGTTTAATGTCACTTTTAAAAGCCTTTGAAAGCACTGTTCTACTCAGTCAATTTATGGCCCTTTTGAAATTCGTTGATCATCAATTCGGTTCAATTAATTCGTTCTTCTATGTAAACAAATATTTGCTGAAGTTCATATCGATGGTCCTATGCCAGAAGCCTTCTATATAATAGTAAACAAAAAAGAAAACATTGAAACGGAAAAGGTATAGATAATTCCAGAAGAGTGCGAAGAAAATTTTAGTTGGAATATTAGATTTAATATTCGTTGACTTACCTTAAGTTTATTTGAGTTTTGGGTCATCAACAAGTGCGATACGTTAACAGTCACGTACGATCTGTCTGCAGTCAAATGGCCCATTCCAAAGCTACTACTCTCTTGGGAATCATATTCGGATATGTCCAGTGTCCACCCTGCCGAACACCTCAATGAGGCCTACCGACATTGTTGACAAACATTGTTTAAATGTACAAAATTATATTTTAATTGAATTGAAAATATTAATATATTATGTAATACTTCTAGAATGGAAGGTGGCATACCGCGACAAGGGAATAAAAGTTATTATGATGTTGATTAACTTGATTCCGGTTTGAAGGTTTCAACAAATTTACCGGCATTCACCCTGTAATGTCTATCATCATCATCATCATCAACTTATAGCAGTCCACTGCTGGACATAGACTTCTCCAGTTGCACGCTACTGAGCACAATCTTCGGCTTCTCTCATCCAGCTCTTGCCAGCCAATGTCTATAGGTTTCCGTAATTAAAAGCAATTGCATCATAAACACCATCATCTTTATTTATTTATTGCTTAGATGGATTGGACGAGCTCACAGCCCTCCTAGTTCACTGGAGCCCATAGACATCTACAACGTAAAGGCGCCACTCGCCTTGAGGTATAAGGTCTAAGGTCTCAGTATAGTTACAACGGCTNATTTATTTATTGCTTAGATGGATTGGACGAGCTCACAGCCCTCCTAGTTCACTGGAGCCCATAGACATCTACAACGTAAAGGCGCCACTCGCCTTGAGGTATAAGGTCTAAGGTCTCAGTATAGTTACAACGGCTGCCCCACTCTTCAAACCGAAATGCATTACTGCTTCACGGCAAAAATAGGCAAGGTGATGGTACCTACCCGTGCGGACTCACAAGAGGTCCTACCACCAGTAAGAATCTGTTCACTAAAAACAATAATTTATATATAAAGTTTGCAACAAGAGAATTTCTTACGTTTCTTAGCTCTCCTCTAAGACAATTAATCACAATGTTGCAACCTCTATGATTAGTCGCACACAATACCATGTCAGCAAAAGTAGTATCTCTGGAACTCCCAATATTTTGTTCTGCAAAAATTTGATTTGTTTTGTTTTCCTATTATTTGCTATTGACCATTACATACTTATGAGATAAAATGTTCTAAAAAAGCTATGCGCGATCTTGAATGCTTTGATAAATCTAATAAGTTGATAAACTAAACAAGCTTATAACGCAAGACTGCTTTGCGACGGAAATAGGATGCTGGTACTTCTTCTAACACCAATGAGTATAAAAAAATTACAAAAATTATAGGTAATGGGCATTTTCTCATCCAGTCGACGACATACTCAAAATATGCAAATGTGCCACAGACGTATAATACCTATAGATGCCAAAAATTAAAATCACATATCACAACAAGCTTTCGCCAAATCACCTAAGATAAATAAACATGCAAATGATAATTGGAAGTACCAAACAGACCACATACGATACTAATATAGGTACTCATATAGTTAAAATTCCTTAAATATTGACCTTTTAGATTAGGAAACAATTTCTTGAGGAATTGTTTCTTTGTAGAGTCACTCACAGTTGTGAATACTTCATAATCCAAAGCCAATCCAATCGATATCAAGGCTTGGCCGAGAGCACCAGCCCCTCCGTGAACCAGAATACTCTCAGTCTTCAACGCATTTTGATTTTGTCTACATTGGACCACTCTTCCCTGGTAAATAGATATAGATACAATAGATTATTACTAATGATGTGATCATTGGTTGATGTTCTAAACCTACACGCAAAACAGTCATAAATTTTGCATTAAAGGATGGAAAGCCTTTACACAATATTGTGAGTAATATGACCTTATCCCTGATGGTGGTTTTTTTTTCCTTTTTTTTATTGCTGATATGGGTGGACGATCTCACAGCCCACCTGGTGCTAAGTGGTTACTGAAACCCATAGACATCTACAACGTAAATGCGCCACCCACCTTGAGACATAAGTTCTAAGGTCTCAATGTCTTTACAACAGCTGCCCCACCCTTCAAACCGAAACGCATTACTGCTTCACGGCCGAAATAGGCAGGGGAGTGGTACCTACCCGTGCGGACTTACAAGAAGTCCTACCACCAGTGAGGTGATGGCATTCACGTTGAAATGTCTATGAGCTCCGGTAGTAATTTAATGCTAGTTGGGCCATAAGCTCGTTCACTAATCTAAGTTATAAAAAAAGGAACGTGCTATTTCAATTCAAAATGACATGTCACAATAATACTCTGCTTGGCAATTAATTAGATAGCTGTATACGACCTTGGCATCAAACTATCACAGCTTATTCGCTTATTTCGATCGCTTGCAGTTCTCAATCCTCATTAAACAATCCCTAATTCCTAAGCTCCTAGTTCCTATAAAATACCCACAAGAACTTTCTTTCTGCTCTTCCTTTCATTTCTGTTGTGGCTGTTTCTAGATCAAAATCAAATCAAATCAAAAAAGTTCGAAGCCAACATGCGTTTAGATTTGGGTATTATGTTGTAAAATTTCAGGATTTTATTTAACCATGAACTCTGGGTAAACGTATAAAAGACAGATAGCAGAAGACTACAATCCTGTCTACACCATCAAAATAAAATAAATAAATAAAAAGCATGTTTGAAAATTGACAATTCTATTACTATTTAAACTATGATAATATTTTGGGATAGAAATAATCTAAGTTGTTCTAGAAAAGTATACCCCTCTAAGATTAGTATATCATTCTTCCGTTGTAGATAAATGAGTTTGTAACAGTAGTACGACTAAAAACTTATTTCTTCCGACGATGATAGCGTACAATTTTAAATAAGAATCCTGCTAAATATAATATAGAACTGTCACTCATAATTAATTAGGTTACTATTTAAATGAACCGATGCCAAGAAGTAAAAAGAAAATTGGATTTGTTTCTTACAACACAAAAATGGAGACAGTAAAATGCTGTTAAATACGCCATAGGTACAGTGGCAGCTTCTTCGAAATCCCAATGGTCTGGAATCGGCCACAGCAAATCTGTACGGGGTCTCACCGTGCTCTTGCATGAACCATTTACTGCAATACCCATGACTCGAGCACCACTGTAATAGAAAACATTCAGTTTTTTTTGGCAGTTTTTTCCCTGCCTATTCGTTGGTAGCCAAAGGGGTGGGAGAAAACAATAAAAGGGAAAATCACATAAACTGGCCTTCGATGCTATAATAATAATTAACAAAGATAACTATTATTATACATCGGAATCTTTCGGATTTATCCTACTCTTTTTCCTGACAGTCATTAAGGTTTTTTTTTATTGCTTAGATGGGTAGACGAGCTCACAGCACACCTGGTGTTAAGTGGTTACGTTACTGGAACCCATAGACATCTACAACGTAAATGCGCCACCCACCTTGAGATATAAGTTCTAAGGTCTCAAGTATAGTTACAACGGCTGGCCCACCCTTCAAACCGAAACGCATTACTGCTTCACGGCAGAAATAGGCAGGGTGGTGGTACCTACCCGCGCGGACCCACAAGAGGTCCTACCACCAGATCTTCGATAGTCCGACGATCCAAAGATTCGGACTTGTATATATGCAAGTTTTTCTTCAAAATGAGTAAACGAAATTCAGGCATTTGTCAAATATCTTGTGTTGTATGATAGCTATATGTGTAAACGTCGGAAATAATATAATGACAGAAAAAATACCATAAATACTATAAGTACCATAACGACCGTGAACATCATATTATCGAGTACGCTGCTACTGTCTTATCGCTTAAATACTAAATCTAAATTTACCTTCTTGTGACCCCGGAAAAGTCAAATCCAAAACAATTGACATTCGAATTTATGACGATACTTTCTCCCAAAGCTTTTGATACATCCATCTTCGATAAGCCTGCATAGTGTACCTGTAGAAAAAGTTTTATTACATCTTCAATTTCGACTTCCAAGTTCAAGGGCACTATTATTACAATTTATATAGTAAGATTTGTGTCTTGTGTTATGGGTACAGGATACACGTATACTAGACAGCAGTTGAAACACCGGATTATCAATATTCTCAACAAATTCTAAGGTAACCAATTGGCTACCGAGACGATGAATTAAATTAACATTTACGTTTACATAACAATATAACATTCAATTAACATATTAACAAAAGATTTACGGAACTCTTACTTTGACTTCGATTCCTGGAGTACTGCTTTGAGAATTTTGCACCCATTTCAAGGAATTAAGATTTCCAGTAACCGAACATTCCAATTTTAATTCGCAATCCTCTTTCGTAGTCTCTTGTTTCAGTGGTAAATAGTAGTAACCGCCAAATGTACCCTAAAACCAATCAACTATGAAGAAAATTCGTAAAATACTCATAACAATTATATTGATCAATACTCTTAACGTACATTCTTCGATACATTTAGCGACAAATTCAAATTGGCTAGATTATGCGACTCATGATCGCCCATAATCACGTAGATATTATTAAAACCGTTTTCTTTTCGCCAGCGACGTATTAAATCCAAAAATCCCTCCAATGGTGGGTACACCGTGAATACAAGTAGACGGCTTCGAGAAGATAGCGAATTTAGAGTTGATATTAACAGCGCAATATCTGACTGTCTAGTCACAGAAACTGCTGCCCCAATATCGTGAACCTCCGACGGTCTCCAACGAAGAAGCTGCAATTTTCCTATGGACGACACGACGCGGTAAAGGGCATCCGGACGATCATCATTTCTTTTAACCTTATCTTCAATGTTCAAAATAAAAATGCCACGTTTCAGTTCTTGAAAAAATATTTGACACACCTGTAACACATTCCAATTTTAAATTATTACAATTTACGTTACTAAATATCTTTTAGAAACTCTGAATATTCTTACACAGCTATCTGTGGTCATGCCTCGAACAACTACAAGGTCTACATCAGCTAAATTTTCGGATTTTTTTGTCATTAAAATCTTACGGCTGAGTTCTTTGTAATGTATAGATATTCCATTAAATTCATTTGTAATTTTAGCGAGGGCTGGATGAACAAGACCGCTGTCATTTAAAATTCCAAGAACGTTGAGTTCGTCTTTGTCAATATTTTCCATTACGATTTGTAGAAAAACATGTATAGCTGAGACATCCTGAAACCTCAAACAGATTTTGTTCATTACTCATTAAATAAAATCAGAAAGCCAGTTGTGGTACAGCATTTTGTAAAACTAATAATTACGTCTAATTTCGCGTTGAAGCGAGGGATGAATTTTGAAGATTTCAGGGAGATGTCCTTAAGGATCGCCGGTGGTAATTGCTGGAATAATAGTCCCTGCAATAGTACACCTCCAGCTCTAAAAATTAAAAACGGAAATCATTTTGATTTGATTTATAGATATAAAGATGATTTAAGCTTGGAAGAAGAAAATCACGTGCTTACTTTGTGGTGTCATGCTTTTCAAGAACCTTGGCTGGTATTAATTCCTTGTTATCAACTTTCTTAATATGCTTTCTGTGCTCGGTAACATCTATACATAATTTTCTAATTTCCGCGGGCTGAGATACTCCGTCATGTTGTTGTCTTAATGCATTAACTTGTAGCAAACCATCAATAAATGTCACCCAGTTGTCATTCCAAATAATTGAAAATGAATTCAATATAGAATCCCCATTATATACACTCCGGAAATCTCCGCTGAAATAAACAATGTACATTAGTAATAGCACCAACAATTCCTCCATTACCATTTTTTCGTTGTAGTACAAAATATCTCAAGATTCGTACTGTTGAACAATTATTTGCTCAACCCTTAAAACCCCTGGAAATATAGTTTATCTATCTATCGGTGTACATACGACCATTGACCACGGCGTACATACGGAATGAGGCGTTCGCTCCTTTTTTTTTTTTTTCGTGTAGAGGGCCGAACCTCCTACGAGGTCCCCGCGCAAAAGGGGCGCGCGGGGTATGTGAGACTCAACGATCTGCATGGTGTTGTGAGCAGACCGCGGGCCCAAGGATTTTAGGACCCACCCACTAAACGACTCCCCTGCACTCTTACACCCGACGTCCGATCCCCTCCGAGGTCAGAACCCGGATGAGGTAGGGGGGCTACNTTTATTTATTTATTGCTTAGATGGATTGGACGAGCTCACAGCCCTCCTAGTTCACTGGAGCCCATAGACATCTACAACGTAAAGGCGCCACTCGCCTTGAGGTATAAGGTCTAAGGTCTCAGTATAGTTACAACGGCTGCCCCACTCTTCAAACCGAAATGCATTACTGCTTCACGGCAAAAATAGGCAAGGTGATGGTACCTACCCGCGCGGACTCACAAGAGGTCCTACCACCAGTAAGAATCTGTTCACTAAAAACAATAATTTATATATAAAGTTTGCAACAAGAGAATTTCTTACGTTTCTTAGCTCTCCTCTGAGACAATTAATCACAATGTTGCAACCTCTATGATTAGTCGCACACAATACCATGTCAGCAAAAGTAGTATCTCTGGAACTCCCAATATTTTGTTCTGCAAAAATTTGATTTGTCTTGTTATCTTAGTATTTGCTATTGACCACTTACTTACTTATGAGATAAAATGTTCTAAAAAAGCTATGCGCGATCTTGAATGCTTTGATAAATCTAATAAGTTGATAAACTAAACAAGCTTATAACGCAAGACTGCTTTGCGACGGAAATAGGATGCTGGCACTTCCTCTAACACTAATGAGTATAAAAAAATCACAAAAATTATAGGAAATGGGCATTTTGTCATCCAGTCGACGGTATAGTCAAAATATGCAAATGTGCTACAGACTTATAATACCTATAGATGCCAAAAATTAAAATCACATATCACAACAAGCTTTCGCCAAATCACCTAAAACAAATAAACATACAAATGATAATAGGTATACTTCCAAACAGACCACATACGATGCTAATATAGGCACTTATATAGTTAAAATTCCTTTAATATTGACCTTTTAGATTAGGAAACAATTTCTTGAGGAATCGTTTCTTTGTAGAGTCACTCACAGTTGTGAATACTTCATAATCCAAAGCTAATCCAATCGATATCAAGGCCTGGCCGAGGGCACCAGCCCCTGCGTGAACCAGAATACTCTTAGTCTTCAACGCATTTTGATTTTGTCTACATCGGACCATTTCTCCCTGGTAAAGAATAATTAATACAATAGATTATTACTAATGATGTGATCATTGGTTGATGTTCTAAACCTGCACGCAAAATAGTCATAAATTTCGGATTGAAGGATGGAAAGCCTTTACACAATATTGTGAATAATACGACCTTATCCCTGATGGTGGGTTTTCTTTTTTTTTATTTATTGCTTAGATGGATGGACGAACTCACAGCCCACCTGGTGTTAAGTGGTTACTGGAGCCCATAGACATCTACAACGTAAATGCGCCACCCACCTTGAGATATAAGTTCTAACATTTCAGTATAGTTACAACGGCATTCACGTTGATGGCATTCACGTTGAAATGTCTATGAGCTCCGGTAATAATTTAATGCTAGTTGGGCCATAAGATCGTTCACTAATCTAAGTAATAAAAAAGGAACGTGCTATTTTAGATCAAAATGACATATCACAATAATACTCTGCTTAGCAATTAATTAGATACCTGTATGCGACCTTGGCATCAAACTATCACAGCTTCGTTTATTTCGATCGCTTGCAGTTCTCAATCCTCATTAAACAATCCCTAATTCCTAAGCTCCTAGTTCCTATAAAATACCCACAAGAACTTTCTTTCTGCTCTTCCTTTCATTTCTGTTGTGGCTGTTTCTAGTTCGAAGTCAACATGCGTTTAGATTTGGGCACTATGTTGTAAAATTTCAGGATTTTATTCAACCATGAACTCTGGGTAAACGTATAGCAGACAGATAATAGAAGACTATAATCCTGTCTACACCGTCAAAATAAAATAGATAAATAAAAAGCATGTTTGAAAATTGACAATTCTATTACGATTTAAACTATGATAATGTTTTGGGATAGAAATAATTTAAGTTGTTCTTAATAAGTATACCCCGCTAAGATTAGTATATCATTCTTCCGTTGTAGATAAATGAGTTTGTAACAGTAGTACGACTAAAAACTTATTTCTTCCGACGATGATAGCGTACAATTTTAAATAAGAATCCTGCTCATTAAATAAAACTGTCACTCATAACGAATTAGGTTACTATTTAAATGAACCAATGCCAAGAAATAAAAAATATTGGATTTTTTTCTTACAACACAAAAATGGAGACAATAAAATGCTGTTAAATACGCCATAGGTACAGTGGCAGCTTCTTCGAAATCCCAATGGTCTGGAATCGGCCACAGCAAATCTGTACGGGCTCTCACCGTGCTCTTGCATGAACCATTTACTGCAATACCCATGACTCGAGCACCACTGTAATAGAAAAGATTCATATTATTCAGTTTTTCCCTACCTATTCACTGGTAGCCAAAAGGATGGGAGAAAACAATAAAAAGGAAAATCACATAAACTGGCCTTCGATGTTATAATATTAATAAAGATTACTATTATTATATATCGGAATCTTTAGAATTTATCCTATTCTTATTCCTGGTAATCGTTAAGACAACTTGAATCTTAAATAAACACAAGTTCTCAGGACAAGATCGCGTATTTTTGCGTAAAATACTTTAAATTCTTCGGCATCAAACAGCCGATTAGTGTGGCTTTACCGCTATACGATCAACAAAACAATTATATACCAACATATCCTCTAATTAAGAACCAAGATACTTGATTACTTTATTATATTTGAACAAGAACAAGAAACGGTGTGCTTATGACCCATAAAAATAATGAATTGAAACATAATTAAAGACAGCAAAAATTCCTATTCGTAGCAAAAAAACTAACTCAATATTCAAATTCAATAATGATAATAACTAAATTGGATACCTATTGATGAAAGTTTATTTTATAATTTTTTCATTACAGAACTTAGAAAATTGTATGCCGAAATCTAAGTAATAAAAATGACTTTTACAGCTTAATCTCGAGTTTTTTTTTCTGTCAATTATTTCCGATTTTCGAATACTTTACAGATATAGCTATCATACAACACAAGATATTTGGACAGATGCCTGAATCTCGTTTACTCATTTTCAAGAAAAACTTGCATATATACAAGTTCCGAATATTTAGATCGTCGGACTATCGAAGATCTGGTGGTAGGACCTCTTGTGAGTGCACGGGTAGGTACCACCGCCCTGCCTATTTCTGCCGTGAAGCAGTAATGCGTTTCGATTTGAAGGGTGGGGCAGCCGTTGTAACTATAGTGAGAACTTAGAAGTTATATCTCAAGGTGGGTGGCGCATTTACGTTGTAGATGCTCATGGGCTCCATTATAACCACTTAACAACAGGTGGGCTCGTTTACCCATCTAAGCAATAAAAAAAAACCTTCCCTTTGTCGAGAAACCTCCCAAAACAGTTTTCATCGTCATGAACGACTAAGTTGTTGACCTTTAATTTAAGACGTACTTAAATGTATTACAATACCNTTATATCTCAAGGTGGGTGGCGCATTTACGTTGTAGATGCTCATGGGCTCCATTATAACCACTTAACAACAGGTGGGCTCGTTTACCCATCTAAGCAATAAAAAAAAACCTTCCCTTTGTCGAGAAACCTCCCAAAACAGTTTTCATCGTCATGAACGACTAAGTTGTTGACCTTTAATTTAAGACGTACTTAAATGTATTACAATACCTTACTCATTAACTGACTACCGTCAGGAAATCTTGGAATGCACCATACTACCGCGAACATAATATTATCAAGTACGCTACTGTCTTAGGGAACTTCTCGCGTAAATACTAAATCTATATTTACCTTCTTGTGACCCCGGAAAAGTCAAATCCAAAACAATTGACATTCGAATTTATGACGATACTTTCTCCCAAAGCTTTTGATACATCCATCTTCGATAAGCCTGCATAGTGTACCTGTAGAAAAAGTTTTATTTTATCTTCAATTTCGACTTCCAATTTCAAGGGCACTATTTTATTATTATTACTATTTATATAGTAAGATTTATGTCTTGTGTTATTGGTACAGGATACACGTATACTAGACAGCAGTCGAAAAACCTGATTATCAATATTCTCAACAAATTCTAAGGTAACCAATTGGCTACCTAGGTGATGAATTAAATTAGCATTTACGTTTACATAACAATAAAACATTCAATTAAGATATTAATAAAAGATTTGTGGAACTCTTACTTTGACTTCGATTCCTGGAGTACTGCTTTGAGAATTTTGCACCCATTTCAAGGAATTAAGATTTCCAGTAACCGAACATTCCAATTTTAATTCGCAATCCTCTTTCGTAGCCTCTTGTTTCAGTGGTAAATAGTAGTAACCGCCAAATGCACCCTAAAACCAATCAACTATGAAGAAAATACGTAAAATACTCATAACAATTATATTGATCAATACTCTTAACGTACATTCTTCGATACATTTAGCGACAAATTCAAATTGGCTAGACTATGCGACTCATGATCGCCCATAATCACGTAGATATTATTAAAACCGTTTTCTTTTTTCCAGCGACGTATTACATCCAAAAATCCCTCCAATGGTGGGTACACTGTGAATACAAGTAGACGGCTTCGAGGAGATAGCGAATTTAGAGTTGATATTAACAGCGCAATATCTGATTGTCTAGTCACAGAAACTGCTACCCCAATATCGTGAACCTCCGACGGTCTCCAACGAAGAAGCTGCAATTTTCCTATGGACGAAACGACGCGGTAAAGGGCATCCGGACGATCATCATTTCTTTTAACCTTATCTTCAATGTTCAAAATAAAAATGCCACGTTTCAGTTCTTGGAAAAATATTTGACACACCTGTAACACATTCCAATTTTAAATTATTACAATTTACGTTACTAAAACATCTTTTATAAACTCTGAATATTCTTACACAGCTATCTGTGGTCATGCCTCGAACAACTACAAGGTCTGCATCAGCCAAATGTTCGGATTTTTTTGTAATTAAAATCTTACGGCTGAGTTCTTTGTAATGTATAGATATTCCATTAAATTCATTTGTGATTTTAGCGAGGGCTGGATGAACAAGACCGCTGTCATTTAAAATTCCAAGAACGTTGAGTTCGTCTTTGTCAATATTTTCCATTACGATTTGTAGAAAAACATGTATAGCTGAGACATCCTGAAAACTCAAACAGATTTTGTTCATGAAACATTATATAAAATCAGAAAGCCAGTTGTGGTACAAAATTTTGTAAAACTAATAATTACATCTAATTTCGCGTTGAAGCGAGGGATGAATTTTGAAGATTTCAGGCAGATGTCCTTAAGGATCACCGGTGGTAATTGCTGGAATAATAGTCCCTGCAGTAATACACCTCCAGCTCTAAAAATTAGAAACGGAAATCATTTAGATTTGATTTATAGATATAAAGATGATTTAAGCTTGGAAGAAGAAAATCACGTCCTTACTTTGTGGTTTCATGCTTTTCAAGAACCTTGGCTGGTATTATTTCCTTGTTATCAACTTTCGTAATATGCTTTCTGTGCTCGGTAACATCTATACATAATTTTCTAATTTCCGCGGGCTGAGATACTCCGTCATGTTGTTGTCTTAATGCATTAACTTGTAGCAAACCATCAATAAATGTCACCCAGTTGTCATTCCAAATAATTGAAAATGAATCCAGTATAGAATTTCCATTATGTACACTCCGAAAATCTCCGCTGAAATAAACAACATACATTAGTAATAGCACCAACAATTCCTCCATTACCATTTTTTTGTTGTAGTACAAAATGTCTCAAGATTCGTACTGTTGAACAATTATTTGCTCAACCCTTAAAACCCCTGTAAATATAGTTTATCTATCTATCGGTGTACATACGACCATTGACCACGGCGTACATACGGAATGAGGCGTTCGCTCCTGGCCTTTTCATTATTTTTTTTATTTTTTTTAATTGTATTTTTTTTACTTCTTTTTTCGTTTATTGCAAATATTTTTACTTATTGAAAAAAAAACAAAAAACAAAATATTTGAGGGAAAAAAAGCCCGCTGAGTTTGTTTCGCTGGTTCTTCTCAGGACTGTGGCTTTTTTTGGAACCGGTTTTAGAGTTAACATTGTTATTTATATTTTGACATTCAACAAGTGTGTTATACTGACATATAAGTTGAAATAAATGATTTTGAATTTGAATTTGAAATTTGATTGCTGTGTATAGGCCACCTCCAGGGTTCGCCACGACGACTGGTCCTAAGTTGCCTGCGAGCAGCGGATTCCCGCGATCTTCAACAGATCGTCGATCCACCTTGAGTGAGGCCTTCCCGCGATACATTTTGCGGTACGCGATGGCCACATGAGAACCTTTTTCGGCCCATCGACCATTTAAATGTTCATTGAGTATTGTGCCCTGTCACTTGCCACTTTAACCTCGCATTTCTTTAAGTTGTGATGTCGGTTACCATGTTTCTCCTGCGAATATCCTCATTCCCACTTCGATCTCGCAGGAACCACATATCACTGCCATATCATAGATATCAAATTTATAATCTAAATTTAGAATGATATGTGAATAAGTTTTGTTGTTTGATTAAAATATTGAAAAGTAATAATTATTAATGTTTTACCTCCCAATATTCTAAAAATATAATTTTAATTAAAAATATTTTCCATTTAAATACTACCTAAAGTTTTCTTAACAATATTAACTTTTATGGTTCAATCTCTTCTATTCTTCTATTCATTACTTAATTTATTTTACAATTTGCTACTTTCAAAAACTTATTTGTGACCACAAAGCACAAAAACTGGCGAACAATACAACAATAATTTCATTAAATTCCCGCAAAAATATTTATTTTGAAATGTCCGTATAAGGGTAAGCAATTTTTTTAGTACTTATGCGCGAAGAATTCCGACAATGAATGAATTATATCATGTTTTAAAATGAATGAAAATGACGCCAATAACGGTTTTTATTTTTAAATTTTTGACTATATACAACTAATTATGATGATAATAAGTGACAACTGTTAATTATTTATTCTAAGCTTACCTATAAGAGTAGTCGCGCAGTTTTAGTAGATGATAAATGTCATCCGCGTTCAAATCCATGTCCTTATGATCCGAATCAACTTCATTGATACATTCATTTACATCCTTGGTTTTTATTATGAAACCTGTTGCAACTTTACTATGTTCACTCATGATCTGAAATTACACAAACGCAAAACACCTTTTTAAAGGGATCCCGATTCCACTGTCCACTCTGTTACAACATTTATGAATAGCAGTCCCGTGTAACCCGATCACATAATAAATAAAACTTATAAACACTGATATTTAACAGATTCTCAATACGAGTTTCTCATTTAATATTGCAAGTACTATGATCAACTGAGTTTTTTGCCGGACCTTCTCAGTGGGTCGCGTTTCCGATTCGGTGGTAGATTCTGCGAAGCATTGCTCTTGCTAGTGCCAGTGTTAGCCACATCTCCGATTATCATCTTATGGCTTTTGCACATTTGACTTCATGAATATTTCTTACCAATTGATCTAGTAATTATATTATACTTTTTTTTTGTTTTGTATTTTGAGTAATACTTGTCAAATACCGCTACCCGCTATGGTAGAAATAGGGACTAGTGAGTGTTGGTATGATTAGTGTTAAACCTATAAAGCCTGAATATAAAGGACTATGTTTATTCAAACACTCACTTCGAATCTTCCAGTGCCTCTGTGTAAAGCAACGCCAAGCCTCAGTTGCCTCTGCTCATGTAGTATCGGCTGTGAGTACAGTTTTAGATTATCAAATGTTACCGACATCTGTTTTTTTGGTATTTGCAGGGTCATAGCTAAAGTGTCCCATGCTGCCACTAACGCAGCCGCAAACGGATATAAGATTTTACCTAAAAAAATTATATTCAAAATTAAAAAATACTCGTAATATTATGGACTTTTAGACTTGTAGTGTGTGTCTTATATTATAATTATATTATTTGAANTTATATTCATAATTAAAAAATACTCGTAATATTATGGACTTTTAGACTTGTAGTGTGTGTCTTATATTATAATTATATTATTTGAATAAATAATTACCCCTTATCACGTTGCCATAGAAGATATTACTTTCATCGTCGTGGAGAGAAATAACAAATTTACAAGAAGCAGCCGTTATCCTGTGGGCCGACACAAACAGTGGAAGAGGCCTACGAAGTGAAATTCATTTTTAGACTTACATTAAAGCAATTTACAAATATCGTTTTCGAAATCAACAATGGAATTACCATTTTTCAGAATGGACCCATTCTACCAAATGAGAGAGCATTGGTGTTCCAGTGGAAACCGGAAATTCGACTTTCGGATACAATTCCTGTAACCTCGGAGTAAAACCTTCCATGTACAAGCTGCAACAATGAATATTTATAATTTCATTTCTCGAATAAATTAACGAAGCAGCAGTTTTTAACGGTAGACAGCGGCTTGACTCTGGCCCTTGGCATGGTTGACTCACTCACCATCAGGTGGGCCGAATGCTCTTCTGCCTACAGTGGCAGTAAAAAAAAGTTACTTACTTGCCAATGGCTTCTAGTAGCAATACAGCATTATTCGGGTGTCCCCTGCGTGTTAAAGCTATATTGAGACAGTTAGAAGGTAAGGAGCGTTTAAGAATCGCTTGAAGTAAGCCATGTGGTGCTATCTCAATGAGCACAGCATTTGATGGTATCAAATTCGCAGTTTCTTCAAATAAAACTGGATTCTGTGGAAATTAATTTGCAATAAAAAGGATTATCTTTGTAAAAAATGATAAAGGTCGAGATTCGCCAAAAGACACCTACTAGTAAGTTGTTAGTGTGGTATTCTGCTGATGAATACTTAGCAGAAGGCTCATTCCATCTGTGTTGGGGAACTGACGTAGATACCCAACGATCACTACGCATTCTGGGTGTCTTGATTACTTCTTTCAAATACTTCAATAAGCCAGGTCCTGTTTAAATTCATTGAAAATTAAATATAAATAAATTTAAATATTTTACTAACAATCACGCCACGTTAACTGGTCCCGTGATAAGTTCGTAAAGAACTTGTGTTACAGGTACCAGATAACGGATATAAATGTAAGATTTTTATTATACACATACATATATTTAATGTACATCCATAACCCTGGAATAGACATTTATATTTATTATACAAATATCTTCCCTTGGCGGGATTCGAACCCGCGACCCCCTTGTGCAGTGACCATGTCACTTGCCACTACACCAGACGGCCGTTATAATGGTAATGGCGATTATGTCGTTGTCAATAAATATCTGCTATGGAATTTCTGGAGCTTACTCTTATTTGATATTACTCATTTAACTTTACTATACTTTTTAAAAATATGAATACTTTTTTTTTTATTGCTTAAATGAGTGGACGCGCTCACAGCCCACCTGGTGCTAAGTGGTTACTGGAGCCCATAGACATTTACAACGCAAATGCGCCACCTACCTTGAGATATAAGTTCTAAGGTCTTAGTATAGTTACAACGGCTGCCCCACCCTTCAAGCCGAAACGCATTACTGCTTCACGGCAGAAATAGGCGGGGTGGTGATACCTACCCGTGCGGACTCACATGAGGTCCTACCACCAATAAAATTCCATATATGGAATTCATGTAAAAAAAATCTTGAGAACGATTTTACTAATCTGAATCTGAATGTATTATAGTTAATTGTTTTGCATATAATAAATTAATTCGGCAACAACGACCCTCGCTATAATATTATGACATTAATAAACATTAGCAATTAAGGATGCTTAAAGTAAAAGTGGAAGTCACTTATAAATAGCTGTTTAGCGGTCCAAGTTGACTGACTTAATAACGACATTTTTTTGTATTTGGAAATCTAAATTTTAATGTCAATGATTAAAATAATAAATTACGTATCATAAAACCAAAAACGAAGGAAGTAAAAAAAACACCAAAGGAAGAAGAAGAAAGAAAGAAGCTTCCTATAGCACGTATCGCGAGATAACCCAGGGAGGGTTGACCACAGACAGGCGTTGACCCGAGAGTAAAACTCATGCCAAATCCCTATGCAGTATCATAAAAGGATAAGCTGCGACCCTACTTAAGAAAAATGCTAAGTAAACTCATTAAGTTACTTATTAATTATATTAGGTAAGATTGACTAAATTTACCAGCTTCAGCAATGTATCGTGAATGATAAGCGATGTTAGAGCATGGAACTTCTTTAGCGAAAATTCTTTTTGCCACCAATTCAGCGATGAACTGCTTCATGTCTTGCGCGGGACCGGATATGGTGCTTGATTCTGAACTGTTATGACAGGCTACTTCTATTGACGGCGGACACATTTTCGATATCTAAAAAAGGTTATGAAATTATAGGTACCCACTAAATTAAGATTTTTATGAAGCACGTTTCTATATGCAAAGAAGTGAATACAAATTTCGATTTCCCACAAAATTAGTTTGACGAAAAAAGCCGATAGGCCGATTTAGCCGATTCCTTTTTTTTTTAATAATATAATGAATATCGACCTCTTGGTATCCTATTCCTACGGCAGCCATGGAACCTCGTATGAAGGGAGTTTGAACAGAGACTAGCCCACGACTGTACGCCGACAGTATCATCTCTTCTGTTGTCAAGCATCCGTCAGCGTACGCGCAACCCAGTTCACCAACACTATGACCTGGTACAAAAACAAAACAAATGTCCTTTAATTTCAAGTACTTGTTGATGAACCATCTCATTCTTACAACTTTATAAGTTTCATACCAATTATTTTATCAGGCTTAATACCGAGAGCCTTTAAAATGTCAGTTAATCCAATCTGCACGGCTGCTATTCCAACGAACGAATGTAAAATGTTATCAAAAATCGTACTATCAGAAGATGTCAATATGTCCACAATATTCACTCCTTTTGGTTCCAATACGCGTCGGCACCTGAAAGTAATGTTTTTTTTTTCAATTATACGTATTGAAATTTTAATGGTAGGTAGGTGTTAAAATATGATGTGGCTAAAATTTTGTGTCCTAGAGCTGTAAAGGCAAGAATTTTGGCGGTATTATAAGAAGTGATTGGATTCAATGGTCATCAAACTGATGATACAGAGTTTTATTGTGTATTCTTACATAATTCATTTTTTTTATCTTGGCAACCACGAACCTCTTACCAATGAAAACTTTACCTTTCAATAGAAGCCGCAAATATAGGAATGCGCATAAGCTGTTTCCCCATCGTGGGCCATTGCGATCCCATGCCGCTGTACACGAACCACAAAGGACGTATGGCATCGTCAAAGTACTCTATCCTTTCTTTTAGACATACAGTATTCTGTTCATCGTCTTGATCTAAAAGAAGAATATTTTAAGTCTGGATTTAATATTGAAGTTGTTTTGTTTAAAGCACAGGTAAAATTTCGGGTAACTTTACCTAAAATAACAAACCCTCTTCCCATATGTCCAGATATAGTTGTTTGGTGGATGTTATGCAACAACGCCAATTCTTCCGGATCTATGGGCCGTGATTTCAAATCGTCTATAACAGTTCTGACTGCAGAGTCTTGCCTTCCCGAGATCGCAACCAAATGTGGAATGCTTGACTTGTACCGGTTGGGATCCTGCAAATCGTAAATTGAAGTTTTTAAGAGCATAAAGTGTTGAATAATAAAAAGCTCGACCCCATTTTCTAATATCACCTGATAAAAAAAATCAGCTTTTATTTAACTTATTGAATCCATCGCAAAACCTACTCGGATAAATTAATGATATTTGATTTGACAATTGACAATTGAAGACATGAGTGGATGAAGTGAATTTTTTTTACTGCTTTGGTTGGTGGACGAGCTCACAGCCCACCTGGTGTTAAGCGGTTACCGAAGCTCATAGACATCTACAATCTTGCAAATGCCGCCACCCACCTTGAGATATAAGTTCTAAGGTCTCAGTATAGTTACAACGGCTGCCCCACTCTTCAAACCGAAATGCGTTACTGCTTCACGGCAGAAATAGGCCGGGTGGTGGTAAATAAAATATGTGATATGATACAATTTGTCAATTTTGAGAAACCAGTCAACAAACTTGTACTTTTTCTTCGTACAAAACTCCTTCATCAGATGCAATTTCTAAAAATAGCTTTTAAACCGGGAGTTGCAAGGTCTAATATAGTTTATAGGCACATAACACTTTCATTCATTCCCTTTTTCAATTATTTCATTAGCTTTGTAACGGAAGAAAAACCTTTCTTTTGTAATGTCCCTTCAGGAGAACGTGAGCGTTGATTCCAGTCAGCGACATGCTATTAACGGCTGCGTAATTTCGTTTAGTCGGTGCGTGATCATCCAGCACGTATACTCTTCCGTCGCGAATCGCACTGATATCATCTCTAGGTGTCTTGTAGTGCAGATTACCGGCTAGCANATAGCTTTTAAACCGGGAGTTGCAAGGTCTAATATAGTTTATAGGCACATAACACCTTCATTCATTCCCTTTTTAATTATTTCATTAGCTTTGTAACGGAAGAAAAACCTTTCTTTTGTAATGTCCCTTCAGGAGAACGTGAGCGTTGATTCCAGTCAGCGACATGCTATTAACGGCTGCGTAATTTCGTTTAGTCGGTGCGTGATCATCCAGCACGTATACTCTTCCGTCGCGAATCGCACTGATATCATCTCTAGGTGTCTTGTAGTGCAGATTACCGGCTAGCACACCCGTTTCATAACCTAACAGCACCTAAAATTAATGATACATGAAGATTTTGAAAAAAATATTTCATAATTGATACATTTACGGTTGATTCTTTAGTTTTTTTGTTTTGTTATTAAGCTATTATTACTATTACTGTTACCATGCTTACGATCGAAGGCAACTAAACGATTCCAATTCCTACGAAACTTTCTATTATCATCTCTACAAAGGTTTAAAAACTGCTAAAGTTCTTTAAAAGATTATATAATCCACAAAACCAGTCATAACATAATAAGCTAGTCCGCTGAATTTGTTTCACTGTTTCTTTTCAGCGCTGTAGCCTTTTTTAGAACATGTGGTACAGACAGCATGTTTTGACATTCAATATTATAAACTTTAAAAATCACTCTGAAAAGAAGTATTTCCCTAATATTCTTTAAGGTTTTTTTTTTAAATCAGGTGATGAAAAGCGAGTCTTTTAGTTAACGTTACATTACGGGCCCACATTTGGTAAATGTGTAATAACTCATTATGTTCGAAAATTATTTTTTACTTACAAACCGTCTGTAATGTTTGTACTACCTTCGTAATGGATGAAATTCCGGAGGCAGCATCGCTATTGCCAATGTTTGACATAACACTACCGATTGCCAGCGGATTCTTTCTGTTTTTACAAAAAACACTGTCGATGGCTTCTATTTCAGACTTATCAGCTTCGGGTACACCTGAAAAATTTTAAAAATCTAGATGTCTTATTCATATGGTGATTGATGATTTGTTCGTTTTTGTTCACAGACTTTAGATTGCATTATCATCACAGACTCCTCACTACAGTAACTCAACACAGGTATCAAAAACAATTACACAACTATATCAAATCACCAATGCAGTCATTAGTTTCGTCCCACTTTCTAATACTTTGGTACGCCTCTTCAGAGCATTGTTGATTTGCTCTCGGCTCTAAACATAGTATTTATTTTCAGTATCAGAACGAATTTCACGAACTGTCTTCTCTTAATAATACTTCTTTTTACTTACTAATACAATTTCCGGTCATGTTAGCGAAATATGTGACGACGACTTTTTAACTATCCTCAGTTACTACGACATTTTGACATCATCCATATTTACCTGAACCAAACGCCTCAACATATTCAACCACGTCAGGTGAAATACCAGCTTCGTCATAAAATTTCTTCAAGAAAGTTGCCGTGTCTCTTGGGTCACGATCAAAGCCAAATCTGGGTCCGGTTTCTCCTTCTAAAAGCATCGTGATTCCCGATTTGACATGCACAATCTTGGCGTAAATTCTGAAAATGAGGGAAACATTACAGTCATTATTCTGTAGTATTTTTAAGCTGATAGACTAATATGACCTAATGTGTCGTACGTAGCAATAATGAAACTAACCTGAGAGCGTTTTTAGCTTTCTGAAGAAATAAAACATTGATAGCTTCAGATTTGGCACACCCGTCTGCATGTCGATCAAAAGACTTCGTTTTTCCGTCCATGCAAAGATTCACAATCCTGTAATAATCTTTGCTTAATACTATAGTATTAATTACTTATTTGAATAATATTTGAACTAGTGTTTACCCAATGATCGTAATTCGACGATAATCACTAACATATCAGGATTTAAGTAAATGTTTTATTCCATTTCTGTTTTGTTTTGTTCCTGATCTTTTGAAAAATAAAACGGAATATTTAAAAAAATAACTAAAGACAGATTATCCTGCCATGACATACACCCTTGTTTTCAACTTACCTGCCATAGTGAACTAAGGATTGCGGGTGAAGACACAAATTGACCCCTCCGACAATGGCCGCCTCACATTCGCCCCGGCTTATCGCAAAATAAGCCTGTTCTAAGGCTGCGATAGAACTGCAGCAAGCTTCGTCAACAGCCAACGATGGTCCTTTGACGTTCAACCAATACGATATGCGATTTGCAAACATTGCTTTGTTGCACCTAGAAAAAACGATATAATCTTTATATATATCTTAGTAGTCGTGGCCTAAAGGATACGTCCGGTGCATTCGTATTGAGTGATGCACCAGTGCTCGAATCCCAGGCGGGTACCAATTTTTCTAATGAAATACGTACTCAACAAATGTTCACGATTGACTTCCACGGTGAAGGAATAACATCGTGTAATAAAAATCCAACCCGCAAAATTATAATTTGCGTAATCATTGGTGGTAGGCCCTCTTGTGTCCGGGCGGGTAGGTTCCATCGCCTTACCTATTTCTGCCGTGAAGCAGTAATGCGTTTCGGTTTGAAGGGCAGCCGTTGTAATTATACTGAGATTTTAAAAGCCAATTCAAATTTTAAACATACTGAAAAATTTCAATATAACCAAAAGATTCGTTTATCGTACCATCAAACGATACAATGAAGACTCTAGTGTAGATGACAGGTCAAGAAGTGGTCGCCCTCGGTCTGTTAGGACTCCAGCAGTGATAAAAGCTGTGAAGGCGCGAATTCAAAAAAATCCCAAACGTAAGCAGAAACTGTTGGCCCTTCAGATGGGGTTAAGCAGAACCACGGNTTCTGTTTTTACAAAAAACACTGTCGATGGCTTCTATTTCAGACTTATCAGCTTCGGGTACACCTGAAAAATTTAAAAAATCTAGATGTCTTATTCATATGGTGATTGATGATTTGTTCGTTTTTGTTCACAGACTTTAGATTGCATTATCATCACAGACTCCTCACTACAGTAACTCAACACAGGTATCAAAAACAATTACACAACTATATCAAATCACCAATGCAGTCTCATTAGTTTCGTCCCACTTTCTAATTCTTTGGTACGCCTCTTCAGAGCATTGTTGATTTGCTCTCGGCTCTAAACATAGTATTTCTTTTCAGTATCAGAACGAATTTCACGAACTGTCTTCTCTTAATAATACTTCTTTTTACTTACTAATACAATTTCCGGTCATGTTAGCGAAATATGTGACGACGACTTTTTAACTATCCTCAGTTACTACGACATTTTGACATCATCCATATTTACCTGAACCAAACGCCTCAACATATTCAACCACGTCAGGTGAAACACCAGCCTCTTCATAAAATTTCTTCAAGAAAGTTGCCGTGTCTCTTGGGTCACGATCAAAGCCAAATCTGGGTCCGGTTTCTCCTTCTAAAAGCATCGTGATTCCCGATTTGACATGCACAATCTTGGCGTAAATTCTGAAAATGAGAGAAACATTATAGTAACTATTCTGAACTATTTTTGAGCAGATAGATTAATATGACCTAATGGGTCGTACGTAGCAATATTGAAACTAACCTGAGAGCGTTTTTAGCTTTCTGAAGAAATAAAACATTGATAGCTTCAGATTTTGCGCACCCGTCTGCATGTCGATCAAAAGACTTCGTTTTTCCGTCCATGCAGAGATTCACAATCCTGAAATAACCTTTTCTTAATACTATAGTATTAGGTACTTATTTGATTAATATTTGAACTAGTGTTTACCCAATGATCGTAATTCGACGATAATCACTAACATATCAGGATTTAAGTAAATGTTTTATTCCATTTCTGTTTTGTTTTGTTCATGATCTTTTGAAAAATAAAACGGAATATTTAAAAAAATAACTAAGGACAGATTGTCCTGCCATGACTTACACCCTTGTTTTCAACTTACCTGCCATAGTGAACTAAGCATTGCGGGTGAAGACACAAATTGACCGCTCCGACAATGGCCGCCTCACATTCGCCCCGGCTTATCGCAAAAAAAGCCTGTTCTAAGGCTGCGATAGAACTGCAGCAAGCTTCGTCAACAGCCAACGATGGTCCTTTGACGTTCAACCAATACGATATGCGATTTGCAAACATTGCTTTGTTACACCTAGAAAAAAACATGAAATATTCAATATAATATTATACATTACATACATACTATTATTTGCAGTTGGCCGACACAGATTCCACAAGGATCATCGTTTGGTCGTTGAATTACTTCTAAGATATGTATAGATGTTTTTTTTTTTTATGATTGAAGGATTACTGGTGGCCCGGAGGCCTTTCCAGTTTCACCAGGACAGGTGGGCGAGCAAAGGCTCAGCCAGGAGGGGTGGGATTTGCTAACAGCTACCCGAACGCCTCCGAAGGAGACCTAACAGCTCAAGAGCAGCTGCTTCGCGAATGAATCTACTACCGGATCGGAATGGCGACCCGCTGAGAAGATCCGGCGAGAAACTCAGCGAGCTGATTCATGGGTTAGGTTGCACGGCGAACTCTTTGTCGAGTTCGACGGTTACCGAGGTCCCTAAGCTTGCTCCTAGAGCTGAAGGCGTCTAGTGCAAAGGTTATTGGATCTGATGGATCCGTAAGGACGTGTCTAGGGCGTCGACGGTGACTACTGGAATAATAAACAGTCGTGTCGTCGGCGAATAAAGCTAAATGGGTCGGCGGCGACCGGGGAATATCGTTAACGAATAAGCTAAATAGGAAGGGTTAGAGGACAGAGCCTTGCGGGACTCCAGCAGTGAGAGGTCGTGGGGAGGAGCGGGTTCCCTCGACTCGATATCGAAAAGAGCGGTTCGACAAGAAGTCCCGTATGATGAGCACGAGACTATCCGGCACGCCCATGTTGAATAGTTTGAAAATCAAACCATTGTGCCAGACTTTGTCGAACGCTTTTGCGACGTCGAAGAAGAGAGCTCCCGTGTATAACGGTTTTGGTCGATTAAGCCCCACAAGAATGTGCTCCGTGAGGCGGTGCACCTGTTGAACGCATGAGTGATTTGTACGGAATCCGAATTGTTCATCGATGAGAATGCCCTTGGATGAGACGAAGTCTCTGAGGCGTTTGTAGAGCAGACGCTCATACAGTTTGCCTAGAGACATGAGGAGGCTAATCGGGCGGTAGCTCGTCGGATGATTTTTTGGTTTACCGGGTTTATGTATGCCGATAACGTCCGCTTCTTTCCACACCGCGGGAAAGATACAGTTCGCCATAGCGGCATTGAAAATAGATGCCAACATCACGATGAGTTGGACGGGTAGAAGTTTAATAACGCGGTTGGATATACCGTCGGAACCGGGAGCCTTGCGAGGACGTAGGTCTTTGATCAAGTCTTTAACTTCCATCGGGGTGACGGGTGGTAACGCATCCGAGGGTGGCAAGGAGGCTCTGCGTTCTACCTCACTGTCTACTAATTCTACATGAACAGGGTCCACGGATTGAGTGCTGGGCGTGCACTGGGTTTGCAATGTATCGGCCAGCAGCTCTGCTTTTTCGTCATCATCGAACGCCGCGAGTCGGCCTGAGGGGCCTACGAGGGGGGGCATAGTTACTACCGTATCCGATTTGAGAGTACGAGCTAAGCGGTAGTAAGACCTTTGGGAGGGCGCGAGTCCTTCTAAGAAATCAGACCATCTGGCATCTCGGACTTCGGCGATGCGAGACTTTACGTCGCGTTGTAGGGCACGCATTCGAATACGATTTTCCGCGGTAGGATACCTGTCGTAGGCGCGTATCGAGGCGTTCTTAGCTCTAAGGAGTTCCCTAATATCGTCGGACAATTTGAAGCGGTGAAGGAAGTCCTCCGCTACAACTTGTTTCGATGACCTATCTAATGTCGAGGTGATGTGTGACGTTAAGATGTCTATGGCTTCAGCGGTATCCTGAGGAGACGGGATAGAGTCCGGGTTAAACGGGAGCGATGGTGGATCAGATTCAGCCAGGCTGATGCCCAGCGTGTGCCAATCCACCACAGTCCTCGTGACGGGAACGGAATCGGGAGCGCGACCGAGCTTCATAACGACGGGATGGTGGTCTGAATCTAACTCTGAAACTACTTCGATCGAGTGTAAGCGCAGAGTTACGTTTTTTAATAACGCTATGTCGAGTATATCCGGGCGATGCGCGATATTTAGCGGGTAGTGAGTCGGGGTTAGCGGAGCGATGATATCGAAGGTGAGATCATCAACTAACGCGTCAAGCCGCCTGCCATTCGGGGTTGTGGTGTGTGAGTTCCACCTGATGTGTTTACAATTTAGGTCGCCCGCCAGAATGACAGAGCTTCCCATGCCGAGCAGCGCCTCGATATCACTGCTTAGAACGATCTTATCCGGTGGAAGATAAACGGACGCGATAACGATCGGCGCGTGTCCCGACAGTGAGATTCGGAACACTGATGCTTCGATATTAGCGAGCGCGGGAGGATCGACCGGGACGCAATGCAGGGCTCTTCTATAGTAAATGACGGTACCACCACCACGAGCAGAGAGCCTGTCGTTCCTGACCATGTTATAGTTCGCGATTTTAGGGTCACGGCGCGCGGGCTTAAGTAGGGTCTCCTGCACTAAAAACATACCAATTTGATGGTCACGCAAAAAGTCAGAAACCTGATCACGTTGATTTGCGAGACCGTAAGCGTTAAAAAATCCTATCGTTACGGATAGGGGCTTTATTCTACTTATATACGCCATTGATTACCGGCGGAGTGAGGGGAGGACGTACGTATTTAATGACGCGTATACGTAGGCGTATTCTTGCACAACGGCGATAAAGTGTTGTGCAGTGGAGGCAGCGCGAATGGCGTCGCCCAAAGCGTTAACGCGCTCAAAGTTGATCGACTGAAAGAAGTCGATCGCTAAAGCGAGATTGTCGGACGCGGTCGGAGGGCAAGTCGCGCGAGAGGGACGAGTCGCAGGGGCGGGACGAATCGCGGAGGAGGGAGTTGTAGCCGTGTTCGTGTACGGCAGCGGTTTCGCCCAGGCCGAGACACTAGGCACCGGCGCCGGAACGAACGCTGGCTTAGCCTGCGACACAGAGGGTGCCGAGGCTTTGATGTCTGGGCCGGAAGCTCGGAGGCAGTTTTGGCGGGCGACGCGGCGATTTATTTTAGGGGCTCGGGGGCATCCGCGGTAATTTGCGGGGTGACCCTGTGTTCGACACAGGACGCAGCTAGGCGGTTCCGTCGCGGTTTTTTGATCGCGAGTGCATAGGGCCGTGGTGTGATCGCCTAAGCACTTGACGCATCGGGGGCGCGCGTGACAGTTACGGGAAGAATGCCCGTATAATTGGCAGTTATGGCACTGGCTCGGTGTGCCTTTCTTGTGTGGGGTTTCGACTGCGATTCCGGAAAGGCTACAGACCGTTCGGATGTTGAAAATTTGCTTACCCTCGGGGGTAGGCTGGAGGGCGACGAGAACCATATTATATGGCTCCCTACCGCGACCGGTGTGCATACGGTGCACAGAATTCACTGGTAGGCCTTGTTCTAACAGGTCGACTTTTACGAGCTCTACATCTAACTCTTTAGGGATTCCGCGTATTACAACGCGGAGTTCGCGCTCCTCCTGGAGCGTATAAGTATGGAAACTTATACGTTCCTTACGGAGGTAAGAAGAGAGGGCCCTATGGACATCAGATGAATGCACCTTTATTTGGATGCCGTTCGCGAGGTTACGGGCATTCGTGAAATTGATATTTTTGGCCTTAAGGGCCAGGGAAACTCGTTCCCAAGCTGCCTGAAGGATTATCGGGGGAGGGGTCTGGGTTTTATTTGTGCCACCGGACGCGGCGACGGAGTGGCACGGGCTGGAGGCGCAACGGGAGTCTGAGGGCGGGGGCGCGACGCGTTCGCGGCTTTGCTAATTTTAGCGGCCGCGGGAGCTCGAGACTCCGCGGCACGCTTCTTACCCTTTTGCATCAGGGTGAATCCATCCGTCGATGAGGCGGGGGCGAGGTCGACCTCCATCTCCGAGTCAGAGTCGGAGGACGAGGAGGCGGGCGCAGGTGACCTACGAGTAGGTGTTTTGGAGGGCGCGACGGAGGCCGCGGATGATGACGCTGCTGGAACGGTGACCACGGCGGACGACGCAGCAGTTTTACTCGCCAGTATAGGCGACGCGGGAATGGCAGGCACGACGGAGGCTGCGGTGCTCGATGCAGAAGCTATGCACGCAGGTACAGGCGACGCAGGAGCAGCGAGCTCGGTGGAGTCCACGAGAGGGCTCGCGGTGTGATCGGCCTTGAAGGCCTGAAACTCGGAAGTGAGCTTTGGGTAGCGAAGCCGGAGAAATTCCGCAAATACAGCGTCCATGATGGCTACGTGCCCAGTTGGGGCTACCCTGGGTCTTAGAAAACACTCGCCTTGCGGCCCCAACTTCTCGGAACTGAGCGGTTCTATTGAACACAGGTGGCGATGCGGCGCGATTACTACAGGACAAAGAAAAAACACAATAAAACAGAAATAACTAAAAGAAACAAAACAATTAAACACTTCCAAGAAAACAGTTTGTCGGCAGATGTACCACGAACACAGAAATAACAAAAGGAAACAAAACAAATAAAAACTTCCAGGAAAAACACTTGGTCGGCAGATGTACCACGAACACAGGCCGCGCGAACAATGGCCGGGCTAACTAAAGCCGGGCGAACAAAGGCGATCGAGTGGTCGATGAGCACGTCCGCACGTGACGAGTGCCTCTATCGGAATGATGTTTACATGTGCGTACTATTGGTTTATTTGTTAGTAATATATTATACTTATATATTAAGTTTATGACTGAGCACCCTTTTGTTTTAAGAAGTCCCACACACAATAGTTTTTCTCAACACTTCAATCCACGATGCCATCCGCGCTGCTAAGGGTGGGCGGGGCTTGCTCTGAATAATCCAAGGGGAAAGTTATTAAAGGAGGCCACGACCGTCAGCACTGGATATTATCGACGAAAGGAGAAGGATCTTCATTAGTTTTCGCGAGTCGTAGGTAAACATAATTGAAACTACTTTTACGGTTTGACCAATCGCCTGTAGTGACCACGAAAATTTTAAAGCATTCGTAACATTGTCAATAATAAAATGATCGTAGAAAACGCGAAATCAACCCCGTAAAAAAAGTTTTAATTAGATGATTACATGTTTTTTTTATTATTATTTTATGTCTTATTTGGAATACCCTGAACTCAATTTACTACTTACTATATTTTTATTGCATATATAGTATAGATAGTTGTATTAACGGCTCGTCTGGTGTTAACTGATTACCGGAGCCCACAGATATCACAAGATAAATGGCATTACCCCATATGAGATTGAACTCAAAATTGTGTTGAATATTGGTTGTCCCACCCTCCAAAGCGGANATTTTATGTCTTATTTGGAATACCCTGAACTCAATTTACTACTTACTATATTTTTATTGCATATATAGTATAGATAGTTGTATTAACGGCTCGTCTGGTGTTAACTGATTACCGGAGCCCACAGATATCACAAGATAAATGGCATTACCCCATATGAGATTGAACTCAAAATTGTGTTGAATATTGGTTGTCCCACCCTCCAAAGCGGAATGCATAATGTCTTTGCGGCAGATATAAGCAGGATTGCAACATATACCCATAACGCACTCCAACATTTATTCTCATATATCTATCAAACTTAGATTATCTATAATTATATTTAAAAAGATATGATTTTTGATACGCCGTATCAATATTTTGTCATTGAAGGCGCCACAAGCCCGGATTAAGTACATATTGCATGGTCGCCTTGCTTGGTACAACGAGTACACCCGGAAAATTATCCTTTAGACTACGACTTCTTTAAAATATCACCTATAACCGAAATAATTACTTACCCGGCAATACCAAAACCTGTTCTGCAGTCTGCCACATAAAAACAAGCTTTTTCTGTTTCAGAATAGGACATACCGATGTACACGCCCACATTCTTTCCTGAAAGGTGTTCAGGACTGACACCTGTCGGGAAAATCATACATTTTGCCATTTTCAATATTTGAAAAGCATTTATCAGTCTACCATTGAATTTTGGTCTTTAGACCCGTGAGCATCTGTTACCAGAAGATATGATGTTGAAGTCTCAATTGTTATGTAAGTTTGGTCTCCCTCTCCAACAATGGAAAGCACGTGATTTTTTCGTGGCAGATTAGGGTTTGTGGAATGCTATTGACATGAGACTGCAGTATTTGGGATGAGAAGATTTTGTACGGCTTTCGCTGGATACGGGCTACGTAATAACGGTCATTATGGCGAATCTTGGTGAAAGCCTATGTTGACCAAGGCTGACATAGGCTGAGCTGTGCGTTGAAAAGAGAGCTGGCATGCATCTTTGGTTTATTAATCAGTCATACAAAAACATTTGTATATTTTTCTTTAGCACTATCATCTCTTATGCTTTCACTGTTTTCAGGAAAAAAGTCTCAAGAATGCCGGAATACCGTATCATGAAAGAACACTTACCGGCATCATAAATAGCTTGATAGGTCTGTTCTAAGACTTTTTTCGCCATTGGGTCCATGTTATTCGCGAGGCGATAATGCACCTTAAAGAATTGTGCATCAAACTTATTCAGTTCAGGTAGCTTTCCTGTGTACTGCACCACTTCTGGATGAGAGTAATTCCAACGCTGGTTTTCAGATGTTATAGGATTTTTCTGAAAACGGTTCATAGGGATTATATTTATCTAACTATATAATGTTGAACAATTATTTATTTGTGTTGATGTGATTGGATAACAAGAGAAGCACTCGGTGGTAGTCTGTAGCATGCAGTCCATGCCACCCATGATCGGGCACATTGGAAGTACGTCGCATGTGGTCGCGATCCTCAGTAGTGAGGGAACGATATAGAAGAAGAAGAAGATTGGATAACAAGTTTTTTTTTTTTTTTTATAATTACATATTTTTTTGACAAGATGAGAATGTTGACAGAAAACTGGTAAAGAAAATTAGTTTACCTTGTTGTACAAAACGTCAGCCAAATCTTTAATCGACTTGGAAGCCGGATATAGACCAGACATTCCACTGATAACAACCCTCTCTTCTTTGAATGTCATTTCTGACATACGTTCGACAGTCCTGCTGTTTTCAGGCATTGCTGATGCAATAAATGCTGTTGTAAAAGATATTTTAAGTCTAAATATATCAGATGAAACAGTCATCTAAATAACCATCTACAGTTTAATAGAGCAAAAAGCTAGGTACATTACTTTCGAGCAATGCCAGTATTCTATAATAATCATTATTCATCTTTAATATTTAACGAATAATAAATTTGCGTCATTAGTAGTACCAGTATAGTAGGTTGTACAGTATTCCCAAAGGGTTACTTAACACCCCTTTTCTCTATTCCTGTTGTAAGATANAGTCATCTAAATAACCATCTACAGTTTAATAGAGCAAAAAGCTAGGTACATTACTTTCGAGCAATGCCAGTATTCTATAATAATCATTATTCATCTTTAATATTTAACGAATAATAAATTTGCGTCATTAGTAGTACCAGTATAGTAGGTTGTACAGTATTCCCAAAGGGTTACTTAACACCCCTTTTCTCTATTCCTGTTGTAAGATAACCGAAGTATAATACAACTGTGACTTCGGCCTCATGTCAAAATGTAGTCATTTAATACCAAGAATGCTTTGAGCACGTATGATCAAAGGAAAGTTAAGGTAATTTTTAAGGTTTGCATCGAGGATAAAGCTAGTTTTTTATAAGGAATTTCCTTAAATAAACTTTCTAAAACCAAGGAATAGACATTAACTACTTTTTACGTACAACTTACCAAATATCAACAGGACAGAATCTTTGTTAGGTAAAGACTGGTGTCTTTAACCCTGAATGCGTTGTTATTTAAAGGCTTTTATAACATTATAAGGAATTATAATTAATTTATGCCAACTCGAAAATAATCAAAAGCTCTATTAACCTTATGACCGGACCCTTTGATTATCTACTGAATAAGCATTTATAGGGATATATTGTCATTTGCGTATAAATGTCCTCAAACCATTGATTTTCGTTTAAGGCTATCACATATATTCACATCGGAAGTAATTTGAGTACCATTGCACCATCTACATCTCCCCTAACTCAAGCAAAAGCTCAGTTAGGGGAGATGTAGATCCTGTAGAAAACGGAGGCCTTTCCAGTTTCACCAGGATAGGCCTCCGGTCACCAGAAATTCTTCAATCATAAAAGAAATAAAATGTAATCTGCATTGTAAGCCATTAATTCTATCACACACCACCCTGCTCTTGAATACATTCTCTTCACACTATTTTTTAATCCCTGTGTTCTACCACAAACGTGATTTGAAAATAATTCGCAGCGGTGGATAGCGGCATCGCTTTGCTTTTGGTAATGCTAATTCCTATGATCGGTGGTAACTATTTACTATTAACCTAGCTATAAACTCTACTATTCTTTTTTTCGTTGATGGGCAAATTAGCTTACGACTGACCTAGTGTTAAACGAGCATAGGAGGCTATAAAAATTATATAGTAGCCTCGGCTTCTTACGAGACTTTTTAAGGATTTCAATAATTTTTGTGTGTTAAAAGACAATGCCAACACAGTTCGTGCGTCAAAAAGTAAATATAATTAAAACCGTTGCTACTGAAATGAGGTCCAATGTATACATCAGTTGATTAAACAGCAACTTGTGACTTTATCATTCAAACATTTGATTGAATGCAAATGGGAGTGGATTGAATGCAAATGAAGTTGTATAGTAAATGAGTTTCAAAATCAACCTGGTTTTGCGAAGTAAGCTCTTTTGTTTTGAGCCTGTACTGTGTTGTGCAGATCGTTTGTATTATATTATGCAGACTTTATAACGGTTGCCCCATCATTCAAATCGGAAGGCATGACTAAAGAAAAAACAGAAATGTTTTAGCATACCCGTGCATTCTCAAACAGTCTTAACCACCAGTAGCTTTCTGTGGTCATTTAGAGCTTTATCGTGAGAAAAATCGATAGCGTTTTTTGTTAATAGTACACTATATTTCGATTCCTAATAAACTTGCACAATATTATTTCATAGTTGTAGCCATCCATAGTCCATCGGGATAGCAACACAACGCTACAACATCACGCACCGTGCCCTCGGTAAAGCTGTTCGAAAGTCGCCATCATCTCGTCCACTCTTTGCGCGAAGAAGTGGTGAATTCAAGTTTGAAGATTGGGACAGTTATTATACAATATAACCAAAAACTGTGGGTAGCAGCACTCACATCGATCTATATGAGCTGTAGTTACCACTTTTACTCTTATTGGTGGTATTATCATTAAGAAAATAAGAGTCTGCATGGTACCACCATCCCGCCTATTTCTGTCACGAAGCAGTAACACTGACAAACCTAATATCTGACAGATGATGGTGAAATTTAACTTGAAATGTTCAACGGCTTAATATTACTGGTAGGTAATATTAAGCCCTTGAACGGTGGGTAGGTACCACCGCTTTAGAAGTCGTCGTGCCCTAAAGGATAAGACGTCCGGTGTATTCGTGTTGAAGCGATGCACCGGTGTTCGAATCCCGCAGGCGGGTACTAATTTTTCTAATGAAATACGTACTCAACAAATGTTCACGATTGACTTCCACGGTGAAGGAATAACATCGTGAAATAAAACTCAAGCCCGCAAAATTACAATTTGCGTAATTACTGGTGGTAGGACCTCTTGTGAGTCCGCGCGGGTAGGTACCATCACCCTGCCCATTTCTGCCGTGAAGCAGTAATGCGTTTCGGTTTGAAGGGTAAGGCAGCCGTTGTAACTATACTTGAGACCTTAGAACTTATATCTCAAGGTGGGTGGCGCATTTACGTTATATATGTCTATGGGCTCCAGTAACCACTTAACACCAGGTGGGCTGTGAGCTCGTCCACCCATCTAAGAAAAAGAAGAAAAAAACCGCCCTGCCTATTCTGCCGTGAGGCAGTAATGCGGTTCGGTTTGAAGGGTGGGGCAGCCGTTGTAACTATACTTGAGACCTTAGAACTTATATCTCAAGGTGGGTGGCGCATTTGCGTGATGTCTATGGGCTCCAGTAACCACTTAACACCAGGTGGGCTGTGAGCTCGTCCACCCATCTAAGCAATAAAATAAAAGGCAACTTTAACTCGTCGAAAGCCTGCCTGCTTAGAGTCAATTAAGAAATCCTATTTACGGCCTCAACAGTACTAAATGAGATTTTTAAGTATAGGTTTTCCTTGCTACGAAATTGAAACGGGTAGTTTACAGAAACTTTAATCAGCAAGAGTTTTTGACAATTTATCAATGACAATTCTGGTCCTTTCGGATAGATACTGATCAATCTGCCCGAGAACTTTGACGACATGCAGCATTTTCTGGATTCCTTTTTTGAACTTCTCCATTTTCTCTGCACTGGATTCTTCGTCAATTTCTCTTATTGTCGGTAGAAATACTGGAGTTTTTATTATAGGCGGTGAAATATTCGCATAGCTTGATTTCAATTTCGGCACCTTGATAACGGGCACTTTTAGTTTTGGTAATTTCAATTTGGGTATACTGGGAACAAAGCCTCTCGGAGGTGCCACAGCCGTCGGTATTTGGGTGTCACTAAAACCATACTGATCGATTTCGTATTCGTTGGAGATAAATTTGCCGTTCCTCACAGATTTCGGTATAGCACTATGTATGAAGTCGCAGAAGGTGTCCACGTCGAAACGATCTTTCGATATCGCGTCTGAGTTAAGTCTCCTTTTGAAATGCGATCGCCCGATTAGTGATTCCTGGAAAAAAATAATATTATAAATCATTATTTCGGAGCAAAATTTGTATATTCGATTTATTTTGGTTGTAAGTGTACAGTAAAAAGTCCTTGTTCAAAAAGCAATAATTCAGATTTTAACGATACAATTTTGTGGAGCGACACTACTTTTAGTGCAACTTTTGAAAATGAGTTAGTAACTATACTTGAGACCTTAGAATTTATATCTCAAGGTGGGTGGCGTATTTACGTTGTGGATGTCTATGGGCTCCAGTAACCACTTAACAGCAGGTGGGCTGCGAGCTCGTCCACCCATATAAACAATCAAAAAAAAAAGTTATAACATTAACTGACAACTTTTTTTTTTACTTCCCGAGCAGGCAGACGAGCTCACGGCCCACCTGATGGTAAGTGGTTACCGTCGCTCATGAACTTCAGCAATGCCAGGGGCAGAGCCAAGCCGCGGCCTACCGCTTAATATTCTACTAGACTTTATTGTCCATGTCAACTTGCTTATGATGAAAAGTTTAAAATACTATGAGACAGACAATGCAACCGAAGAAAATGGATTAAGTACTATAATACAACTAGCTGCGCCAGGGTCTTCGCTGCCAACAAACTGCAGTTTTATATTAAAACATAAAATTCAGATTAGAAAGATAACTACGCAAGATAATTTTAGCACACATACATTCCTTTTTATATATATATTATATATATTTCAAAACAATTCGGCTTATGGTTCAAAAGACAAAAATCACTGCCACTAGCGCCACCCTATGTTCGTCGGAGTGATCATGTGGCCCTTTATATTTATACAGTCTCATATCAATTGGGCGAACGGTTCTCGAGTTTTATTTACATGACTAACATACGCGCACACATTCTCTTTTATATATTTAGATAAGTTACTTCACTCAACTTCATTATTATTTGCTATTTACTCCTGTGTTTCTATTTCGACTGATTGATAGATACGACACAATACTTTAATATTCAAATGAATAGTCTAATAAAAATAAAAAATCCTCGAACCTGTTCAGTTTCATTTTCATTATGCAAATAATTCGTTTACATATTGAAAATAACCGTTTTGCATAAACCCGTTCATTGGAATCTAAATGACATATTTTGTGACCCTTTCGAAAAATATAGAACGCAATCATTTGTTTTCCATTCCTGATTCCGTAGACAGAATGGTAAATAGTCGACGTCGCCCAAAACACGTCGTTACGGATCCTCCCGACCCTTTAACGGTGCTCTGCTCTTAGGTACCACAAGCACCGGTCATCGTCCTCGTCGAACCCGTCGCTTGCGACGAAGGGCTCGACGAGCCAATTAACCCACAGACACAGCCAACTAAGTTTCTCGCCGGATCTTCTCAGTGGGTCGCGTTTCCGATCCGGTGGTAGATTCTGCGAAGCACTGCTCTTGCTGGGGCCAGTGTAAGCATCAATCCGGTTTGAGCCCCGTGAGCTCACCTAAACGTTACGACGAAGCTGAAATAGCCTCTCAAGGCTATCAACATAGGTAGGAAAAAAAATTGTTTTGTCTTCTTCTATCACTACATTATACGGCTAAATGTATATAATACACAAAAATTGGCAGTTTAAGCAAATCGCGACCTTCATCAATACAAAAAAAATATGGCCACATCGTCTTAAAAAACAGGGCCGTATCCAAGTACCTAATACAAACAATAGCTTGTATCGCCATTCCCATTTGAAGATCGAATAAAAGATAATGTGGTTTAAAATAAATAAATAGATTATTTGATTGATTAAATACATTTATGTATTAAGTTGAGTGAGATGAATGTCTTTTTTATTTATGAAAATGAGATACTTTGCATCCTCTTCGTGGCTATATATGAAATATATTTATGTCTTAAGCAAGTTGATCTCAAATACATTTTTTAATTGGTTCATATTTTACCAATAAACTTCAAAACTTAATTGGGTCCTGAGGTTTCTCATTGGATTTATAATTAGAATTCTATTTTTGTGAAATTTATTATCAGTTGGTAAACATTTTATTATAAATCTGTGAATCCTACCTAATTAACATCGTTTCGCACTTTTTAAGTGTAATTAAACAAATTTTAAATGTGTTTGCGAGAGGTTGTCTGACGAGAAAAATAAATTAATTTTCTTTGCTAATAATAGGCAAACTTAAGTGGCATCTATTTTGAGTGTTTTGTTTAAACCAGATACGCCGTGTGTTCTCTTGAGCAATTAAATACTAGAGACGAAGTTCTTCCACCAAATCCCACGATTGGCGGCCTGTTAAAATTGGTGACGTTACAGCCGGTAAGTTTTTTTTTTTTTGCTCTCGATGCTCTAGATGGGTAGGTTAGCGCTTAGCAACGTTTTAATTGTTAGGTGCTTATCGGAGCCCACAAAAATCACAACGTAACTGCCGCCACGTACTGAGAAATTCAAGATCTCAATTGTATTGTACAAGTATTACGTCTGTCCCACCGATCAAATCGGAACGATAGATTGCTTGCGGCTTAAGTCGATGAGACAATGGCGCTCCAGTGTCTGTGTAACTATTAAATGCTACTCACTCTCTCTTTTGATTCACTAGTGCAGTCAATCGTCACGCGCACGGGTGATGTATCGATATCAGTTACGGCTGTGAACTGAAAAAAATTTAATAATAATGAGAAATAGTTTCTTTGTAAAACAAAATAACGGGAAATAAGACGGGTCTTTGTTTTGGCATTTGTAGGCAGAGACGCAAATCGCTACCGACTGCTTCGAACTCTTTTTGGGAATTGTTTGTGATATCACTCAGGAAGCACCATTCTTGAGAGTTCATTCCAGAACCAAATATACGTAGAAAAAATCGACTAGAAAAATCTCTCACACACTACACACCTAAAAATTCGCACGCTTTTGCGCTACAGCCAGAGAATGTTACATGATGATAATCATATTTATGGTTATTGGTCAGACCTAAAATACACCCTGATATTTTCTTCCTAGAGAAGCCTCCCTAATTTGCATCACCTAAATCCTATCTAGATTTTGTTTTCATTCCGACTTACCAATAGGAGAATCCGGCTGACTCAATGGCTTAATGGTGGCTGTGAACCACGGTAGTCGCTAAAAGAAAAGTTCTATATATCTAAAGGTCCACAAAAGTTCTATGTAGGAAGAAAAATTCTATCTACGTATTTCTGTCACGATATAGTATAGCCCTGTTTGAAAAGAAATGAAAGTTGTCATACAAATAAGACTTGAGGCATGATATCTGGGCGCTGGCTTAATATCATATGTGCGTAATCAGTCTTCGTCATAGGTTTTTCAGGTTTTCATTTGCAAAACACAATTTCACCAACTCAAATGGATAAGGGAGAGGTTTTAAAGAAGAACCCCAAGAGAACTGGGCTCGGCCACATCACCACGATTAAGCCACGTCGTTTATAGCCCAGCGTGAAATAAAACAACAAAAAATACATTGACGGCGTATTGGTGAAGCGTCAACTCTTAATCCATATAATTTATAATAAAACATTTTACATATAGCCCCAAGTAATGACAGCTTCTACATATATCTTAAGAATTATTCTACAATATCGTGCTTTGAGTTTAAGTAGAAAGAAATTAAGAATCCTCCACCTACCTACAGTATTTTCACTTTATAAACGGCACACGTAACAAAGGCACTGTTATTTTTGTCTATAAAATAATACCAACCACCAAATAGAATGCTATCGCCACGTACCGATACATTGTTGAGGTGATAGCCACAGTCACGACATTCTGCAGCGTCGGACATGTACTGTGAGCCATCACGTACAGTCGACCGCAATGTATATTAAATGTATAGTGTGAAACAATATTAATGTATTGTATTTGCGTACATTTGGTATTTACCATTGGCACTCAACATATTACAGGTCCGCCAAATTCTAGAAAATAGAGTGGTATGATGTATCATATAGCGTATCTTGATGGTCTAGCAATTCGCAAAAATTAAGGACGATAGTACCAATACAGCACACTTTCTAAAAGCAGTCTCTTTGGTTTATGAAATCAAATCATATTGAAACGTTTTCTTGATAATGCTAAATTTTGAATTTCGGATTCATAGTTGTATTTAGTTTAGCAGTTATTTTCTTTCAAATACCATGAATCTTTAGTTCTCGCAGTGATTTTAAAACCATTGATTAGAAAACAAATTCAAGTAATTATATAAAATAACCGAAACAAATCAGTCTGAGATATGAATTGCTTATATATTATCTTGTCATATAATATTAAATTATTGCTGGATGCCATTCAACAACATAAATAGCGTCAACCAAATTGAGTCCTGAGGTCTCATTTATTTGGAACATGAACGCTTCGCAGCCAAATTGGGCAGGATAATAAAACCTACGGCTTATACGACATTAATTTTGTCATTTAAGAAAAAAATACATTGAGATAATGCTTTTTAAAATACGTTATAAACAGACAGGTTAGCTTACTGTTCAATCAATACATCGTGTCAATTTATACTTTTTTGCTTTCTGCAGCATCAGCAACACGCGAACCAACGCCGCGATCCCCAAGGTTGCGATTACACAATACCATCGGAAATTCATCAATCGCGCCTTATCTTACTCTACGTGTTCATCTAGATATTCGTAAACGTCTTCATTATAAATAACATGCAGCTAATTCTAAGTGGCTGTTACGGAATCAGCATCCTCATGTACTTAGTTGCGAAAGTCTATTTCGAGAATGAAATTAAGAAGACACGTTATTTGGATGGTTTTGGCGGTAGCTGTTTTGAAATCTGTCGAGGTATTTATGATCTAACCCTTAAATTTGTCTTGAATACCAAACTCAGTTATGTTAACAATATAAATATTAGTAGATAAAATACATAAGAATAAAAATTAAGAAGTTCATTTACATTTGATGTTCGCTAATAATGTTTGGGAGTGTAACTTTAGATGCTTTTATAATATTACATTGGTGCACTATATTACTTAATTTGAATGCATAAGTGTTAAATCCAGTAATTTGTAATTTTAATGCTAGATCAAATAACTAGTAGTCAATGGCTGATCTGACATTCTTGGGTTCCAGAGCAGCATACTTCTCAGCCGATCTTTGCTGAAGCCTCGTCTCCCAGAGCCCTGCTTCACTTGCCGCGCGGAAGACCGGCCTTACAGTTATACTCTCATTTCCCACTTCAACACGATCAAGGATATGTTTGTGAGGGCCCTCAACACTCTTGTGGAGAAGACCAAGGAATACCAACTAGAACAAATGAGTTTAGTAGATAATGAAAATTAAATTTGTAAAGTGCAGTGATTCTAACGGACTTAAAAAGTATCTTTTGCAATGCTAGCCTTAATTTCAAAGCTACAACAGAATGTTTATCTCTTGAAAGGGATTGCAGCTGTAGATGATACAGACAGGGATCTAACTTATCACAGTTTTGTTTCCGTTTTCTGATAGAAATTTTTGAGTAGAAAACTGCTTATTATTAAGGAGAGTTGTTATCAGGGACTACGAAGAAATAATTTTTTTTTCTTACATGGGCTCACAACCCACCTGGTTGTTAAGCGGTAACTGGAGCCCATACATCTACAACGTAAATGCACCACCCACCTTGAGATATAAGTTCTAAGGTCTCAATATAGTTACAACGGCTGCCCCACCCTTCAGACTGAAACGCATTACTGCTTCACGGCAGAAATAGGCAGGGTGGTGGTACCTATCCGCGCGGATTTACAAGAGGTCCTACCACCAGAAGCTTAATTTTAAAGACCAATTTTATACACGGCGAGTAATACTTTGATTATCATATTCTTAACGCGTTCATCATCATCTGATTCATCTGTCTAATTCTAAATTTGAAGTGCTTAAATTATGTTTTTGAGTATAAGGCTATGGGACTTTTTAGTGCAACATAATGCCATTCTACACTAACTACATACCCTATGAGACGCTAGTTAATCTTAGTGTTACACGGAACTATTCATGATTCTAAATAGAATTATCTCAACAGTAGTAAAAAAGTTTGTTCAATTGTTCAGCGAAGACTTGATACTTATTATTGTAGCCATTTCATATTTCATGAACCTGCGAATGTAGGTTCCACCTCAAACGGTATCCATGATCCTGCACGGGAATCCGGTTTTACATACTACATTACCTCTTACAAGGAACTTGGTAGATAAACTGGTTTTAAAGGAACTACTATCACATCAGTGAACGCCTGCACTATCTCACCGTCTTCGGAAACAACAAGCTTACACCCAGTATAATATTTTATAACGGTTGCTTATGTCACTGAAAAATAATATATATTATCTGGGAACAAATCACAGACGGTCATCCGGCTCCAAATTAGGATTTCCTGTGTTATAGGGGTACCTACTGGAGTCTCTACCTAGAGTCCTGAGTCTCTGGTAAGAGACTGACATGAATACTTGTATATGTTTAAATATATACATATACAGATAATATATGAAATAAACTATGAAATGTTTCTTCAGTGGGTGTTTATTATGGACATGGACGACTAAACAAAAAGTTTCACTGAATCGAATCGAGCTGTATTAGACCAATCACCATGATGTGGTGTGTATGCCCATGCGTCAAAGGCATTTTAAAAAACGCACATAAAATTCGATTTTTCTATAAAGAAACGCTAACTACCAATGATATAAAACAATATTGTTGAAACATTTATTCAAACTGTAAGTGACTTAGGCAAATGTAATAATGGTAACTTAATTTATTTTATCTTAATAATTAATCCCATTAAATCTATAATACAATACATCTATTTATATAAGTTCTTAAATAACAATGTAAATATATTTTTAAATAAATTATTACATACAGGTTTAGAATTCGTTTTTTTTTTTCAAATCTACAAGTGTCTTGTGTGGAGTCACCTTATCTTTCTCATTACTCGTTCTTCTATCTAGACAGAAAAATATAACTATTGGCATATTATTAAACAATTAATTAACGAATTCGTAGAACGTTACGAATCGCGGTGTATTTGTTCGTATCAAATACCTCCATCTAAGCATTTACTTTTGAATTGTCTTAACGCTTATGAGAATGAACTTAATACGGGCATATTGCATTTTTAAGGGTATGTTATTACAAAAGATAGATCGATGGATGTGTGAAAATAGACGTATGAATCTATGGATTGAGATAAACACCATTAGGTACAAACAACGTGATTTTAAATTGCATTGACAGTTGATAATGTCTTCGTCAAAATGGCTTTTTATTGCATGAATGGTTGGACCTCACCCACCTGGTATTAAATAATTACCGCAGCCCATAGACATCGTTTTTTTATTGCCTTTATAGGTAGAGGAGCTTACGGCCCACCTGATGGTGAGTGGTTACCGTCGCCCATGGACTTCAGCAATGCCAGGGGCAGAGCCAAGCCGCTGCCGATCGTTGAGTACTCTCCACAAGCCTCATTTGAAGAAGGACAAGTCATAGTGCTTGGGAAACACCGTGTAGGGGAGCTCATTCCTAAGCCGGATGGTACGTGGCAAAAAATATCGCTGGAAACGCACTGTGGATGAACGCAGTGGCTCCAGGTAGTATGGATGAAGTCTACTCCGGTGGTGGGCGGTGCGATAGTAAGCATCTATAACGTAAATGCCGACACCCACCTTGAGATATGAGTTCTAAGGTCTCAGTATAGCTACAACGACTGCCCCACTCTTCAAACCGAAACGCATTACTGCTTCACGGCTGAAATAGGCAGGGTGGTGGTACCTACCAGTGCGGGCTCACAGGGCGTCCTACTACCAGTAAATCTTTAGCCATAGAGAAGCCTCATGGTATTATTGATACACGTGAACTAAGATAATTGCTGACTATTGGATGGGCCTCAATATCGTCTGCTTTAATAAAATGAAAACAAAAATAAGGGCGAATACCGCCTTCCCGTCTCTTTGTGGCACAAAACAGACGTGTTCCTACGCTAGACAATCAAATTATAATACAATTGAGAACTCAACCTCAAATCTCAAGGTGGGTAGCGGATTGTGATACTTCTTTGATAAGTACCTATGTACGTAAGGTCTTCTACACATATACAGCAAAAAAAACAATGAATCTTATCGCTAAAAAGGTCACACAGATATTTGTGACAAAGCATTGTGCGTAAACATTTTTTTGTCGTGTATAATTTTTCTAACTAATGAACTTGTTTACCATGTTACTTGTTACATAGCTGTAAACAAATTAATCAAATATGAGAACAACAACAAAAATTAATTAATATTAAGTTCCGGTCGCCCTACTACTAAGCCGCATTCGGGAGACATTAATAGAAATAACGCGATATTAAGACTTTCTTGTCTTGACTGCGCCATACGTTAAAAGATTAGCTAGTAGTAATTTTATACACAAAATTAGAGCTAACAATGAGAGCTTAACAATGAGACAAAATTATGGATACAGATCAACCGATATTGCTGAAAGCGCAAATATTTTGAATGAAAGTTGCAAAACTACGCTGGAATCTTCTTCGGCATTTTTACGTGATTCTTGTCTTTTGTAACGTGAGAAATTGGTTTTGGTTTCTCCGCAACAAAAATTTTTATAGCTGCGACGGTCATATCGAGATTCGAGTTAAAAATGCGCGAATAAAAACTTATATGTACCAAACATATTTGATTTGATCACCGTGGAGTGCTCTGACTCAGAGCCTCTGAGGAATTTTTCGAGATGATACCGTCATCTCGTTTTTACCATCGCACCGCACGCCACCGGAGTAGAGTTCGTCCATACTATATGGAGCCACTGCGTTCATCCACAGTGCGTTTCTAGAGGTCTTTTACGTCTGCCACGTACCATCCGGCTATGGAATGAGCTCCCCTCCAGCGAGTGTTTCCCGTGCGTTATGACATTTCCTTCTTCAAACGAGGCTTGCGGAGACTATTGAGCGGTAGGCAGCGGCTTGGTTCTGCCCCTGGCATTGCTGAAGTCCATGGGCGACGGTAACCACTCACCATCAGGTGGACCGTATGCTCGTCTGCCTAAAAGGGCAATAAAAAAAAAAAGTTTGACACTAAGCTTTATGAATACTAACAAACATGAACTTCGATGAAAACATTATCTAAAATACGATTATTAATATACAATACGGCAGTTTACATCGTTTTGCAATTTGTTGAACTATATTTAATAGTAAAACCGAGTAAACCTCGTAAGAGCTTTTTTATGGACAAATTTACTCTCATGCAGTAAATGTAAACTTTTATTTAACATCACATAAGTGTATTGGTGTAGTAATAATAGCTAAATATTAATTCAGCCATTAAATAAATATAAAAAACTATATCAAAGTTATATTTTCACTAATATCTTCATAAATCTACTGAACTCTTGAGAGGTTAATGCTCCTTTGTTTTTCAGTTGCAGTAACTTTTTCATTACTCCCTTTTTCATATCAGTTGCTACATCGAACGCCTTTAAGGATCTTCCCAAAATCGGTACATTTAAAGGCTTCAAACCGCCCAATTTTGGCAACCGCGGTAGTTTTGGTATACGAGGTAATATTGGTAATCTTGGTAAGAATGGTAAAGGTGGCAAAATCGGTGGTAATATTGGTGGTAGAATTGGTAAGTGAGGTAATATTGGCGGTAGAATCGGCAAGTGAGGCAAAATAGGAGGTAATATTGGCGGCAAAATTGGGAGTAAAGGCAATTTCGGTGGAAATTTCAGAGGATTTCGTATTGATCTTGGTAGTTTTCTTACTTTCGATATTTTAATGGGTGGCGGTTTTGATGGTAATTTAGGCAATTTTAAGGGTGGTACAGAAACTTTTGGAAGTCCATGATTAATGTTTATATTGACAGGCGAATGTTTTGTTACTCTTTTCACAAACAATGGACTGGATAATTTTCTTTTGTCGCCAGCAAAAAGTCCTAGATTAAGACTATTTGATGCGACCACCTAGAACAAGAAAAAGTATTATTACATAAAATAGACAGAACCAAAACTGTTTTTACGGTTTAATCTCGCATTTTTTATTCTCAATATATTATTTTCAACATTTGGAATATTTGACAGCTACTTGGTCATGGAAAAAATTGCGAATGTGCGAATACCTTTTTTAGGAGGGATCATGTATGTTTTGCCAGTAATCGTAAGATACTTTTATAAAAATATGAATTTATGAAATTAATCACCTTTGGGTACTTTTAAGTATCACAACATATTTTTTCAAATTAAGTACAAAGACTCAATGGTGCTCGAAGGTAACCTCAAAAGCATCAACATAATTACCTCGTGTCATTGCAAATATCGAAAATAATGGTAACCAATTTCCACCACCAAAAACGCGTTTACAGCCGTCGAAAATTAAAGATCTTGGTTTACATAATGTTCTCACAGAATATATACACATGTACGTATGCATGTGACTATAAATAAAACAATAACAAGCTCTCATAGTTTCCAAGTACTTGACTGACTTGAAAAATTCTAACGTTAAAATACCGTAAAGGTCATATTTATTATTCTAAATAAGACAACAACAGAACGGAAGGACCAGCCAAATAATATAATTTTCATATTCAAATTGCTAATATGCAAAAGATAAGAAAAGTTTATTTTAGCAATATTTTAAATCAGATAAAAAAAAATGGAAGATACTTACAAAGATGATCAAGATTATGAAACAAATTTTCATTTCCGGGGCTGGTACGGCCATCTTGTGATGTAAATACCTTTGATTTAAACCCATTCGATAGGGCTTATTATCTTTTATAATTTATGTCTTTAACATAACAATGTTATCAATAAAGACGACTTTTAGCGATTACACACGTAGCTAATTTTATTGTTTATTTATCAATCAGTTTAATTTTAAAATAATTTTTTAATTCAAATAATGAGGTATTGTTTATTAGTACAACCATATGTGAGTTTGTAAATAATAAACGTATTTATGTGTGTTTTCTGAACCCGTAAACAGGTGAAAAGATTTTTTTGGAGTTAATTAATATGGGCTATGTTTTTGCGTGTGATCAGGATCTAAGAACTCACCTAGTTAATATAATACTACATATAATTAAAGTCAGAACTTGCTTCAATTGCTTCGGGAATAGTTTAACCAAGGAAGCTACCGCAAGTGTTTCGATGCGTCAGTGAACTTCATACCACGTCCCTTTCTCAATGTAATCAAAGCCCATTTATTCTCAGGTTTTCATATAAGTAATCTTAACATTTGAAAGTCGCCAACCAGTTTTGGACACGTTACCATCTCAATGTATTATTGAAGCTAATATTTACGTACTAATAAAAAGTTATTTGAGTTGGGAACGCTTTTTTGCCTGGCATAAATATATTATTAAAAACAAAATAAATTAATAATCATTCACCCGTTTAAATAAAGTGATATATATATATAAATGAATTGCTGTTCGTTAGTCTCGCTAAAATTCGAGAACGGCTGGACCGATTTGGTTTATTTTGGTCTTGAATTATTTGTGGAAGTCCAGAGAAGGTTTAAAAGGTTTTCCCTTTGATGTGTTCCCCGTCGAACGGATTCCTTTTGTTTGTTTTAAATTTATTTTATGCAAAAGTTTAAGTCTTTTATTTATCGATTGAGGCACTACGAAGTCTGCCGGGTCAGCTAGTGTTTAATAAATATATTGCATATCGATGAAAACGATTGGCGTTTTATGTAAAGTAAAATTTACTACGTAAACAAGAACGTATCACCACGTTCGATCTAATCAAGTGCGACTGCCTAACTTTCTCTAAGAACCGATTTCAAGATAAACATATGATAACAAATTTTAATAAATAAATCACGTAGAAATTTTAAATAACCGACGGGCCACAAATATATTGACATTATACATCTATCTGAGTTTGGTTGTGATCGCGTTTGTACGTTCACGTAAAATGGGGGGTCAAAGGTTTTTTTGGTCCTCCGTTGGGATCATTTTGTTTACTTCATCATATTATGTTGTTGCTTGTGACGAAAAAGGCCTGTGTTTGGTATGTATTTATAATAACGTGTTTTTGTCCGAGTGACGAAATTCGACCATAATCACTGAAACCTCAGGATTTTGATTAACTTAATATGTTTTTGGTCTGTTCTGAAATATAACATTGTTAACACTAAATCTGTTCAGTAGCCAATATAACAAAAAAAAAGAAAGAACATCGCTTATCAAACAGTTTGAAGAAAATTGGAAGATTAACGCCGTGTAATAAAAATAACGGCCGTAAGATATTTTATACAAAAATGCGGAATTTGGTGGTAGTGTGAACCAACACCAGTATTATCTGTTTCTTTAGACAACTTTGCTATGTTTATGCTATTTACTATGCTATTTTATTTCAGCTTGAAGCACTCAAGGACCTCAAAGAATGCAAAAAAGCTTTCCTAGCATCGTAAGTAAAATAACAAATGCCATAATCAAATCAGTCAATCAACCATATTAATATTCATTCAATTTATAGGTTGCTGAAGCCGCTTTTAAAGACAAAACTTTTAGGTAAGGCGCTTTCGTAATTTCCACGTTATTATTGTTAATTATTCGATCACTGTACTATTATAATGTTATTACACTAGCTCCACATACCTTGGTTTAAGTCTACTTCTAAATTTCGCATCGATTCGTAATCTTGTACACATGTAATTCAGTTTTGGGTGATTTGATTAATGTTAATTGTCAAAGATGTTTCTTTTTTAAATAGGACCTCACAGAGGCTTTTAAATCGCCATTACTTTCGATTCAAAATTTAATATTACCACTGAAGTATATCAACAAAGTATACAAATTTACAAAATATTATTGTCTGAAATTTAAAATCTAAAAATAGTCTGCATTATCAAGGCTTGGTTCTTTGATTGTTGATGTCCAGATTCATAATATATCTAATAAATTAGTAACATCATAATAAAAATGATTCTAAGATTACTATCAGAAATATTTCCAAATTTCCTTTCGCACTCTGCGTGGTTAATGGAAAAATATTCAAACTGTCGCGTCGATATCCACTTGTTACGGCATATCCAGTTCCCTCTTTTTTTAATTAATAAATTACAATATGAAGTATATTTATTATAAGTATAATCGAATAGTTACCTTATTAAATCAGGTAATTATCACATTGAAATTAAATGCTGAATGGTTTCTATCCGGATATTATTTTAAGTGGTTCAATTTGAAAATTTCCCCAGCCATGCGACTTGAATTTTTGTTAAAATTCAATGTTGTAGCGTTTCAAAGAGACACTCTTTATTTATGCGCTATAGTTTTCAATTAATTTAATTTCTATTAACAAAACTAGAAATAACATTATTAATAAGTAAACTGAAAAATTATGAAAGAGAATATAAGATATTCTTAAACTTAAATTGCAAAAGAAATCTGAAAGAAATGAAAAAAGTGAGTTTTTGTTTTTGTTAAGGTTGTAGTAGAATATCATTAAACTTAATAATAATACCATTATATAAAAAAATTATGTATATAAAAATTACTTAGCTATTGGTAAATACAAAAACTTGTTTTCAATGCAGGGGAAAAATGACAAAATATCTTCAGTTGAATTTTACTGCCTACTTGACAAATTAGTACGTAGGAATTAAAGAACAAATTGTAAATACATTGATTACTTACAGACAAAGAGAAGCTACCACCACCGACAATATTATTAATGCCAGCGGCCCCTCCAGTACCTCCACCGTGTGCGCCACCACTCATCTTACCTGCTCCGCCACCATTGCTGCTAGCTCCACCTCCGCCGCCACCGCTGTGCTTACCTCCAGCGCCACCGTTTTGTCTTCCTCCATCTCCTCCGTTATGTCTTCCTCCACCACCAATATTTTTGCCCGCACCTTCTCCACCTCTAATGCTACCTCCACCAAACATCCCGTTTACGATGCCTCCTCCTATGATTTTACCGCCTGCACCTGCTCCAATAATACTACCTGCACCACCCCCAATGTTTTTGCAAGCTCCGCCACCACCACCCTTATGTATACAAGCTCCATTACCACTACCACCTCCAGCTCTTCCCCCTATAATGATATCGTTAGTACCTCCACCGCCACCACCGTCTTGTTTACCTCCCCCTCCAATCGGTATCCCTATGACGGCCTTCATGGTTCCTCCACCAATACCTATAACATTGGAACCGAAACCTTTACCTCCCTCTTGTCTGCCACCCCCTTGTTATTGCTAAGTTAGCTTAATGTTAGCTTTATTAATTTAAGTTTTATTTTATTTATAAACATCGATGTTTTACAAATAAATGTGAACTATGTGAATTGTGTGAACAACGATCCCTAATGATAAATATAAAGTAATAGTATCCAAATATTATAATTCTGAGCACACACAACAACATCCAACAAAATGTGTATAACTTTGAAAAGCAATGTTCCTAAAATATATAAAATACATCTGATGAATCTGAAATCAATGGAATTATCTGTCATTGTAAGATCATCATATCAGCATCATAAACTAAAATTCACAAACGAATTTTACTGATTCGATATTAACAAAAGTTAAATAAGGTAATCAAAGACTTACGACGTGGAATTACCACACTAAGCTTCCGATACGATATTGTCTGAAAAAATATTGGACCGGGACAGTAACACCACCGTACGTACCTATGTCTTTAGCTACAAAGCGTTTTAAAGGGCAACTTATCGCATTGGTCTTGCTTCAATATAGTCATAGGGGTGTCTTCCTAATTTGGACAATGCAAAAGTACTATCAATTTAAAATTAACTTAAGATTCAGTAAAATATTTACTATACCAAATTTTTTATTTAAAAAAATGTCCAATAAGAATCAGTCTACACTCTATATTATGCATAGTTATTAAAATAAGATTTTGTAATGTAATTCCATCAATTTCATTCTGATTAAAAATGTTTTCAGCATGGCTTAAAATATTTGTNTTTGGACAATGCAAAAGTACTATCAATTTAAAATTAACTTAAGATTCAGTAAAATATTTACTATACCAAATTTTTTATTTAAAAAAATGTCCAATAAGAATCAGTCTACACTCTATATTATGCATAGTTATTAAAATAAGATTTTGTAATGTAATTCCATCAATTTCATTCTGATTAAAAATGTTTTCAGCATGGCTTAAAATATTTGTATTTAAATTTTAACATTCAAATTACAGCGTGACAGTAGCAATTTGATTCGTTGCAGAAACGCCCCATAGGTTTGCAACTGCATTGCATTATCTATTAGTATCATCGAATCGTAAATTTGTTAAGTGGCTTTTTCATTGCATATTCGGATGACCGACTTGAGTTCATTTTAGTATATTCTTCAGTTTTCTTGAGTCCTATTTTTTTATTTATTTTTTATTTAGTAATAAATAGTAATTTTATAAATAAATAAAAAAATTTAGTAAAAAATAAAGTAATAAAAAAAGTAGAATTTCAAATTATTTTTACGGTTTACTTACGGATTTATTATTTTCAATAAAAGTAGTTTTAATTGTGGTTAGTAGTTCATGAAAGCCATAACCCAAAAGTCGTCGTGCTTAAAGGATCAAATGTCCGGTGCATTCGTATGCAATGCAAGAAATTTTTCTAACGAAATACGTACTTTACAAATGCTCACGATTTACTTCCACCGTGAAGGAATAACATAGTGTAAAAAAATCAAACCGCATAATTATAAATTACGTAATTACAGGTGGTAGGACCTATTGTGAGTTCGCACGGGTAGGTACCACCGCCCCGTCTATTTCTGCCGTGAAGCAGTATTGCGTTTCGGTTTGAAGGGTGGGGCAGCAGTTTTAACTATACTGAGACCTGATAACTAATATCTCAAGACGGGTGGCGCATTTACGTTGTAGATTTATATGGGCTCCAGTAACCACTTAACATCAGGTGGGCTGTGAGCTCGTCCACCCATCTAAGAAATAAAAATAAAAAAACTACTTTTACGTGGTCAGTTATCACGACAACTGTAACGCGAAGAAATGGTATATGATAAAGGAGTATGGAAGAAGAAAACATGTTGCGCCGACCTGAGTTGACTGGGAGAAAGGCCGGAGAATGAGGAAAACTAGATTAATTATGTTCGACTATATTGACGATTGATTTTTTTTTTTTATATTTAGATTATATTACCTTTAAATTATAATGTTTATGTAGTAATTAAATACTAAATTAATAATATTAAAAATATTAAATAATAAATAATAAGAATAATAATTTAATAACTAAAATATATTATTAAAAGGAGTCCCTTTAGGCAAGGTTCCGAAGATACTTGCAGCGTTCCCCCTTTGAATAGCTAGACTAATTCTTTGTCCAAGGTAGCTGCCAGCTCTTCGGACTCATGTGGTGTCGACTAACCTTTTTGCTATTTCCTTAAAAAGCCTTGTAGCGCTAGGACCCCACGGACTAAGGGTCTCGACACCGAATGGGATAAAAACATATTCCGAGCCTAGACCCCTGTATTTGCATGCTTTGGCTTTTTCAGCAGCTTCATTATATTTTTATTTTATTGAAGGTTTTCTTTTTATATAAAAAAATTGCCTTTATGTAGATTTTATTTTTATAATGTTATGCTTTCACCGTAATGAACACGTATTGTATTATTTATGTGTTATAATATGAGTAGTTTTCTATGTATGTTAATTTGGCTTACAAAATGGATGTTTCGAAGAAACGCTTTTGGTTTTAATTCAAAAACAGTATGTGAAATATATATGTAAACGCTCAACACAGCAGAAAACAGACTCTCAATTTACTAAAAAAAATACAACAAAGCCATGAAAACTTCGATTTGTATTATTATACTATACTATATCTGTTTCATTTCGATTTTATTAAGATGATTTATGAATTACATTTTAGACAAATATAGTCAATTTGAGGCGTAAAAATAGTTGTACTAATTTGTAGCTGTTCAAAATTAAAGTATTGGTTTTTAGTGTAGCCTTTTTCTTTGCGATTGTAACCGTAAGCTAATCCCAATATAAAGTCAGTATAAAAGTTACCAACAAAATAATATAATGTTGCTTTTTCAACAAATAACACGCAACGTTAAACTTGTTTGACAAAATGTGGATTTTACCTATAGTCGAATTTCTTAAGTACAAAATCGTCGGCAGCGTCATTGTTCTGACGTGCTTACCTTATTTCGGTAAAGATTTCAAAATTGATAATTAAGCAGTAATTTCAATGCAAAGAATACATTTCAATCTAAGTAATTAGTCAAAATAAAGAATTTAATTTTTGAGTATTTTTTAAATTAAATACATAAGATATAAGAAGACGGAAAAGTAGCAGTGCTGTTTTGGGTAGTTGTGTAAAAAAATGTTTAAGGCATTTCTAGAATTATTTCAATAAGTTTTAATGTATTTATACTTATTTTTAAAAGTATGTTGTTCGTTTTTTCACTGACTTCTAATGCCATTTATGGACCGAGTTTTTGTTTCTAAGGGATTAATTTTAAGTTATTTACGTCATATTTGAAGTAGCTTTTCAACTTGTTTTATTTTAGTACTTAATCTGCAGTACCTCTATGTAAAGCGTGTTGCAAAACTATAATACTTTTTGAAATCTTAAGAGTAGGAAAATAAGAATCATCGAAATAAAATAATAATAAATAATTTCTAACCTGGAGATCATAAAAATAATAATTTCAGATAGAGCTAAATTAATAAAAGACTTCAGTCGTCACGGATTGAGTGCAACATGTTCTTGCGATACGCATATTCTTGAATACATTAGTACAAAAAACTCACAAGGAGTCCTTTATTTTGTAGAGAATTACAATATACTAAACGAGGTAAGCAAAATTATATTTTAGAGATATGCCCAGTATTGGACATATGCCTTTATAGTTTCGATTTTACCCCATTAGGTAGTCAAATGTAGAGTAGAGGATCTTATAATAATCGGCCGGGCTTAAAGTTATAGAAAATTACGTATGGATATCCTAGAACCTGTTTTATATCTCTGCCTCCAGTATCTGCTCTGATATTTTTCAAGTCCACCACCTGACTGGAGATCGCTCCAACGATTTGCGTGCCAATTGGCTGCATCCTTTCAAGAATTCATCATACATCAAAATCAATGAATCTCCAGTAAACACAGATCTTGTTTCAAATTTGTTGCAGACTAAAAGTCATCATTTTTCTTTAAACTACAAATGGCTTATAGTCGGTAACGAAATTCCAAATCGACTTCACACAGTCAGGTACGACGCGGATATCACTTTGTTCAATTATTATGGAAATGGTAAGTATGATTTTTAATGTAGGCATCATTGTGGGAAAATATTATAGCTTTAGGAATGTATGAGCTTATGAAATCAGCAGAAGGGAAGAATAAAGAGGAAGCAATACTTACATGCAAAATATAGTAGATGATACAGTAACCTATCTTGTAGTGCATATTTGTAGGGCCGACTGCACATCCATGGTTTTATATTTTAGACACTTGCCGAATAACTTAGCCATTGGGAAGAAAAATAGTTTAGTTGGTCGCTTATTGGTAGCTTAGTTTGTGAATATTGTCCACATTCTCTTTCAGTTTAATTAAATATTTATTCTAAATAATGCATGAAGTTATATCGGATATCTTCGCAGATCGGAGATCTTACATCGGACATTATCGCTGTTACAAATTTTAAATTGTTTTAATTGTTTATTAAAAAGGTAACAGCGATCAGGTGGGTTATTTTCAAGACATTTATATACATCCCGAAGAAGGAGCAAGTGTTCACCCATGGGCGTACTGGTCAAACGGAATTATATTAACTCATGAAGTAGAAAAGAAATTGCGCAGGAGGAATTTGAAGAAATTTCCGATGAGGATTGCAACACCGGTAATGTTACGAATAATTTCAAATTATGTTCTTACTTATGGCTAGCAATAAATGGATCTACGTCATATTCAAAACTTGTATTGAATAATAATTAAGAGAAGGTTACAAGATTGCATTTTTTTTTAAAGTTTATTTGAGTTGAGTCTGTGAATTCCAAGGGAAAAAGGTCGATTTTTTGGAGATAAGAGATTTTTGGACAACAAGATTCGTTAAGCTTTCACTGATGGGCACAAAAAGCAACATTAACTGATAAGTGATCTCGTGACCTTCCAGATACTAAT